TCAACACTTGTACATATGCCGCAAGCTCACGCTTGCCTTGGAGATACTCCAAAAACAGCGACCGGTTACGGTGTGCTTGGTTTGGCGGTGCATACTGCCGGGTCATCTGAACTTTCAGATCGGCCCATGTGGGAAAAGCATCTTGCAGTGATGCACCACATGTAAATGCCCGCTGTTTGGCTAAGCCACCTAGCTTGCCCGTGGCAAAGCCCACACGGTACGGTTCATAGGTGATGTTGGCTATGAACATAGCCGACTCAACCTGTCGGAACTAAAGCATAAGGTTATCACCTTCTTTGCCGTCAAACTTATCGAGTTCCATTTGTATGGGTTTTGGTCTGCGGACCACTTCTTGCGCCATGGGCGAAGGCGCAGAAGAAGGCATCTGTGCCTTTACATGCTCGACTAGAGCTTTCTTATATTCATCAAGCATATGAATACGCTTGTTAACCTCTTCTACGCCCTGGACAATGAGGTATTCCAAGCCCTTAAGGCCAAGGATAGGGAGCATCTTCTGCAACCCTTCCTGTTGTGCCTGTGACAGGCCAACCGATGACATCTCGTCGATGTCCATTCTCACACAGAGAAGTAGTTGCAAACCCAGGTGCGGGATTTACTACGAGTGCTACCAGGTGTAGCCGAGCTACTTAGCTATGCTACTTATGCACTATGTGCAGATGCACTATGTGCAGAAGAAGTAGTCAAACTACTGTATCAAAGCTACGTATGCACTATGTGCAGAGGAAGACAAGCTTCGAGAGCTTCTACGTCTTAGGGTATTTAACCCTCCCAGGCTAGCTCGTAAGCTTGGGCCTATCGGTATTAACCGAGTCTCAGAGATACTAGTATCAATGATACAATTTCTCAAGAGGAATAGAACGCTCTAGCAACTAGTGCTATACAGAGCAGGTTTGGAACTGATTTGTATTTATGTTTATCTTCTAACACTAAATATAGAAGCACCTATCCTATACTTGGTGCTAGTCACTATTACTGGCTCTTTAGCCTTTTATGATTATGCAAACATGCATAGTCACTATACTTAACTAAGTATAGTGACCACGTGGCACGATGTGACCCTTCGTACTTCAGGTACGGTCACATCACCTACTTTGTACCAAAGGTACAGCCACACCACATCGGTGTGGCAGGTGTGTATGTAAAATATACACCTTCGTGTAACCCCGTTACAGGTCGGATGAGTGAGCCTTCTTTCCACAGCGATCGCAGGTCAGCCTCTTACAACAACCCCAGTTTCCATGTTTCCTGGACCACAATGGGAACATCCTGCACTTGGGGTTGCCGACACCGTGCGAGGTCCATGGTCCTTGGTCGAGGGTCGGTGCTGGTCGACCTCTCTGATGGGTCGGTCCCTAAAGGTCCTTGGCCCTAGGTCCTTCTCCGTTTCTGTAGCAATGAGGTAGACTTTCCGTAGGTCACCGTCACTATCAGAACTGTCCAAACTAAAGTCTTTGGAGCTTGATCCCTCCTGGGTCTGACCTTATCCGCGTTCTGAGTCAATTTTTCTGTCAATGTGCAGGCCCGTTTGTAGCTTGTTTGCTTGGATCAGCAGAGACAAGATAAGTATTCTGCGTAAATGCCTCTTTGAGAAGAGACGAAGCAAATTTACCCGGGCTAGTGCGGATGAGTTTCCTACGCTTGCTGACAACGCTGAGTTCGAATACATTCTGGATGCAGTTCATTTCATGACCTACCATGGCTGGAAGTTTCTGCCGCAGTATAAAACTTGGCACCCATTTGGCAGCTATGGTATTATAACTCGCGAGTACGCGACAACCTACCAATGAAAGTCTGTCTGTCTGCGCTGCAGATCTTCAGCGACGCACCAGCAGTCTGTTGATACATGACGAACCCATTACCATCATCACAATACACCGATGTGAAAATTTGAAGCAAGCTGTATTGCAGGTAGATTCTTGCGACAAAGCACCATTACTTGCATCGTTTTTAAGGACCAGAGGGTGCGTGAGGAACATGACGGTTTGCGATGATTTGTCTACTCGTACGAAGCTGTCGTAGATTACAACTAGTACGGATGCTCCGCTCAACGTCAAGACCACCGGTTCATGAGCCACATTGTTCTCGGAAAATGCAATGGAGCACGCTTGAGGCGGCAATCCATCCATGTCGACGATGACACGAAGTTGCATGGAAGTCTTATGCTTTATTGCTACATGGCAATGCATATGGGTTGCCAAAGACACTCCAATCAGTTGAAGCCTACCCTATCCTCGCCAGAAAGTAACGAGGACTGCAGACTGAATCAAAACACAATCTATACTTGAGTCATAAAGTTTAACATTTAGTATTGAAGGAGATCCTTGTTGGGTTCTTCATAGCAACTACATGTGCAATAAGCACACTATAAATCTGAATACATGAACAGGACTGGAAACGATTACATACACCGTACGCTCACTGCATTCATCATTTATGGTCTGGTCCGACGTATACATATCGAACTACACTATTATCAGGAACTATACATGTGCCGTAGGTTTAGAAAGTAGAAGCAAATGCACAGCGCAATCAATATTGGCTTCGTAAATAACGTGCATAAACTGAATATAGTATTTACTTGTCTATTTTGTGAGTGACACCAAAAGATCTGTAATGCACTCTAAACAAATGGATAGTGTTACGACATGTCACTTGTGGCCTTTTCTCAATTTTAAGACGACTACTGATAATCAATTTTCGGTTAACAATGTCGCTTTGCAGTAGATGTCAGGCATACCAGAGCTTTCTTTCGTTTCATCACATCTGTAACGTCCGTAACACTGCGTATTGTCGATTTAGAGACTAAAAAAACTTAATATTTGTGGCTGAGGTTGACTACAAGTCACTCACCGAGCTGCAGGACATGTATGATCAAAGTTTTGCATATAGGTAAATTGATTTTCATTAACTTTTGAAGTTTCGCATATTAGAGAGCACAGCCAGGAAAGAATGGACATTCCACGGGACATTCGCGTCTTGTGGCGCCTGTCGAGGACCTAGTAAGAAGCTTTGAGGTCCCACACGTGGCATCCAAGAGATTTTGAGATTTTAGGGACGATACGATAGTAATATCGCTTACCGTGAGTTTGATGGTGTGCAGTTGTAAAGCCATATTGCGAGTGGGAATCATGTGAGATACTCTAATTAGCAGCTGATGCGTGAACGCGACATTAAGTGCAAACGTCACCGCGCGTTCGCCTTGTTGGATGTCCCGGGGGCAGCAGCAGCAAGCACGTCAGCTGATGCGCTGGTACTGAATGCACGTATTGGACTGAAACAGAAGGACAGAAGGCAAGAGTTGAGAAATCATCCGGAGTCATCGGACTCGGCGAATCTCTGCACTGGAAGGATCTGCACTACTACGACGAAAAGCATACGCAAAAGATGCGCACGGAAAGCATATCAGGGTTGGTGTCTTTCGAATTGGAGGTGCTTAGCGCAGTAATATGTAATTTACTAGCTGACGACGAGGTGAGAAAAAAATGCTCATTAGCGCGGGTCTAGTGGCACAAACTCTCGAAAGTTTTACGGTCAGTCCTGGCTCAGAAGACAACGGAGAGAATTGACTGCTTCAATTAAGTCGGGGTTAGAATAACATATGCCGACTGAACACGGGATGGTAAAATTTGCTGTATTATTTATAAATTGAGAGGTCACATGGTCTTTTTTCTGCGTCTTGTGCTAAGTAAGTAATGAAATACATAGACGGCTGAATTGCACAGTGGACCATGCAATTACTTTGGCAAATCAATTATCGACAAAGTGCTCTGTCATGGTCACGTGGCTACAATTTACGCCGTACAAAGACGGTAAGTGGAAAAGAGCGTACAGCATTCAAAACTAACACGATTGCAGCACTGCAAGTTGAAGTCGAGGGAATACAAAATTTGCCACGGATAAATGCGCAACTCCTTAAACCGCGCTACATGCGATCTCCTCTGGCGACATCCAATATGGCAATTAAAGAACACTAGCAAGTAGTGTTCACGCTATATTAGCAACCTGAGATGTTTGTGATGTGAAATGCGTCAGCCCAGTTAGTATCCGAACAAGAGACAATGAGCTTTTGGAACTTTTGTGGTAGACCGGTATTGCCCCACATCAAGCGAGCGTAGTGATCGTACAGCGGTAATAGGAAACAACAAGTGCATAAGTAAGATTATCTGTAATAGTTGTCTAGAAAGTTTTGCGACACCGAAACAGACTCTGCGAGATGTATTGAGCAATCAATCACGCAAGACGAAGTAACGCATGACAAAAACTGGCTGAGCACTAGGTAGTTGCTCATCGGCGGCTTCAGCAACACGATTGACCCTTGTAAATTTGTTGAAGAGCGAGAGCCGGCTTGACCTTTTCATCTACACATGTACTTGCTCTGGTACTGTATCTTTCCCGCCGGTACCGCACCTTCCTCACAAACAGACAACAGATAGCAGATATGATATGATGCTCTACAGATGATAGTGCATCCCATGGCTGTGTATTGGTATTGAGATCGATAATCCGAATATGTTTCGTAGTAATAGTGAGTAAAATGTCCTCAGTCCTTTCGATCCTTGGCCACATTGAGCAAAAAAGACATACAATCACACAATCTGCTTGACCTCAAGCATTCTGACAACTTTACTACAAGCGTCACCATCAAACGTGCCTCAACTAGAGCCTTCTTCCTGCGGCTATGCAGCTTTTACAATAGCATCCAGCTGCAATTTGACGGGGCTGGACGAAGCAGCTACATTACGTTCATCTTTTGTACCCACAAAGTGCACTTTTTAAGTCCTAGTCGCAGTTTTTGCAGACTCGGTCTCAATACACATGGTCACCACTTTTCAAATTTCACACCAAGTGTAAAGGTGCTGGTCGGTTGGTGATCCTCTTGCGTCCAATACTTGCTCGCTTCGTCTTTCTACTGAAAATATCCGTTTTGCGCTACATCATTAACGAAAGTGCCCCCACGCACCGAAGCCTGCTTGCTGATCATGCCGTCAACCGAGAACGACATTAAAAACAAGGATTTGCTCTTGAACAGCTCTAACAATCCATGTAACAAAACCGACACACCATCTATTGATATTGAAGTTAAACTGATCGAGCAGCGAAACAAGGCCCAAGACAACGTCGACAAGCGCAAAATCTTGTTAAAGACCTCATCGAGCTCCACCAGCAGTATTAGTAGTTCGACGGACGATGTTGGTGCGGAGCTGGTCACGTATATAATGAAGGAGGAAGATCGTAGAATGAGTACGAGAACTTCCGTTGCTACTGATATCTCCTCCGTTGATGGTGACGCTGATGTTGGATTTAAGGATGGGGAACAACATGAACTTGATGTACAATTGTTATACGACATTGCTCACAACATGATTGGCCGCAACATTCCGTTTGAGACACCATTTGGCACTAAGGCCCAGTGCTACGCAGACTACACAGCCAGTGGAAAGGCCATCGAAAGTATTGAAACTTTCATCCGCAATGAGGTTATGCCTACGTATGGCAACACGCACACTACCACGTCGGTCACAGGGCTCCAAACCACCTCCTTTCGAGAAGAGGCCCGCCAGATCATTGGTAAGGCAGTGAACGCCCGTTTTCATGGCAGAGAAGCTCGTGACGTGGTTATCTTCAGTGGACAAGGTTGTACAAGTGCCATCAACAAGTTTATTACTGCTCTTGGTCTTAACACAATGCGACGTCACCATCGTCCGTACAAGCGACCGGTCATCTTCACGTGCCCTTTTTCGCATCACTCGAATTTGCTCCCGTGGCGTGAGCTGTACGCTGTCGATGTCGTTGAGATTTGTGAGGCCAAGACTGGTGGTTTGGACTTGAAGGAGCTTGAGCGTCAACTCCATATTTATCAGGGTCGTGAACTTAAGATCGGCACATTTGCCGCTGCCTCTAACTTAACGGGTATGTTAACTGACGTTGACAAGGTGTCAAAGCTACTTCACAAATACGGAGCACTTTCCTGCTGGGATTACGCCACAAGCGCCCCTTATGTCGATATCGACATGAACCCCAGAGACCCTTCTGCCTACAAGGATGCCGTGTTCTTTTCGGGTCACAAATTCGTCGGTGGTCCCGGTTCTCCGGGTGTATTGATTGTCAAAAAGAACCTGATGAACAATGAGGTGCCGACGATGCCTGGTGGCGGCACCGTGTTGTTCGTGACAGAGAAGGCTCACAGTTACCTGGCCAACAACGTAGAGCGTGAAGAGGGTGGCACCCCCGACATTATCGGTAGCATTCGCCTCGGTCTCGCCTTTGAAATGAAGCAGCGCGTGGGCACCAAGCACATTATGGACCTTGAACGCCAACACGTACGTCATGTCCGCGAGGTGCTGGGTCAGAATGATCATATTATGCTTCTTGGCCACGAAAATGTGGATCAGCTGCCTATCTTTTCGTTTCTGATCCGTTTCGGGGACCGGTTCCTGCACCACAACTTTGTGTGCGCGTTGCTCAATGACCTTTTTTGGTATTCAGGCACGTGGAGGCTGCCAATGCGCTGGTCCTTTTGGTGCTCGTCTACTTGGTCTTAGCCGCGAACATATTATTGCTTTGGGCCATGCTGTTGTCGCCAAAGACGAGGTCCTTAAGCCGGGGGTATCCCGCGTGAGCTTTCCGTATTTTGCAGACGACGACGAGGTGGACTACATCTTGGAAGCGGTGAACTTTGTGGCCAATCATGGGTGGAAGTTGTTGCCACAGTACAAGTACGACCCTCACAACGGATCGTGGCGTCACGTTTCGCGCGCCACGGCTCCATTCCCGGCTAAGAAGTTTCTGGCAAGTATGCAACTGGACGATGTGGAGATGGTTCGACAGTCTGTGTGTGCTGCTCCAATTCGCAGCATCGCCGCTCACCGTCGCGAAAATATGGAGCAGGCTACTGTTTTGGCGAATGCTTGCATCGAGGAAGCCGCGTCGATTGAAGAATTCCCTGAAGGTCCAAAGTTGGTGTCCAGCCATGAGTGGTTGCGCTGGTTTGTGTACCCGCACGAGGCTGTTGCTGCATACAAGGAAACGGGCGAGAAGCCGATGCTCACGGCAAAGATTGAAGGCCCGTGCCAACCTCAACGCTATCTAAATGGCTCAGTCCACAAAGTTTGGGAAGGCGTGCCATCCCTTGGACAAATGAAGCGGAGTCTATGGGGACGTTTTCTGCTTAAGGTATTCATGCAGGGCGAATTAGATGCCATGAAGGACAAGAAAAGTGACGACGAAAAGAGCACTTTGAAGGAAGAGGAAGCCATGTTTGTCGTCTTTGCTGATTCACTGCAGTGTCAGTAGAAAGAAAAGTGTTGTTAAGAGTAGAGGTATTTGAAAGGAGAGCAATTAAAAAGTCTTGTTAGACGTAGAAATGCTTTGTTCTATAGGTTTTAGCGTATTATGATTAAAAATGAAGTCTTAGTGATTCTTCGATTGAAAGACACATGAAAGAGTTTATTTCACGACAACAAGAGACAGAAATCTTGTGTGCATCTGTCAATGTTTAGGTCTCCTTTCAGGCGCAGCATCATGTTGATCCCATGTGGTAGAAACCTGTAAATTTCTTCGTCCCCTGATGCTTCGAATCATCCATAACTAACAGTGACTATAGGTTATGCTGATAAAGGGCAACTGTAGGGGTAATAAAGGGCTACATGGGCCGTCTATCTTTAACATTTTGCCTCAAATCCTCGAGTCAAAATCGTTGTTAGGTTTGGAGCGACAGATTTCAAAAATCTAGCAAAATGCATCCCGTAAATCGGTTGTGGTCTTAGCTAAGGATTGATAAAGTTGCGATTTGAGGTGCTGAATAACGCCGTCTTGTACGGAATTCTCTATTTGTTTCGTAGATTATATATTGATAAATATTAAAACGCGCTACATGCACTCACTTGACATCAATCGCTAAACGTCCAGTCATTAGTACATTCATTGCGTTTGAACTGCACAACTTCAATAACATGTGTCACCTATACCTTCAGAGAGTGCTTGGGTGATGGCTGAAGTTGCAAGGCCGTACACCCACTCACAATTATCTTGTTGGTAACATCACTACTAGTAGGAAACACCGAAGCTGGTGTTGTCAACCTTTGTCAACCTTCAGTTCTGACTCGCATTTCGACTTGACCAATGCGGTCCTACTTCTCCTTTTTGCGGTTTACCAATCCATACGTCGTTTACTGTGTCCGCCGGGAATACAGTGCAATAAAACAGAGAGACAACTGTTTTTTGAGTGCGTGACATTGCAGAGTTGTGGCCCATACTTTTCCGTGTCTGGTCAGCCGTCTTGGCTCGGTTTCCGTTTTACAACTGTCTGGATAACTTATGCTGATGTGATAAAGGAGCTGTAACGTTGCATTGTACTCCAGATGTTGTGTAGTTGATACGCAATGATGTTCTTTTCGGTCAGCAACGCCAGCCATGCTGCTGCTTGTCACGTTGTGAGTTGTGTAAAACGCGAAAACTTGCAGGTGTCAGCTGTACGACCGAAGACAAGCAAGGTTCCCTTCAATGTGTCTTGCAATATATTCGGCCTTTCGCTTCCTGAAGAGCTTCATGCGAGGTAATGCTTCGTTGTTTTACAGCGACGTTTCTCTGTTTGGGCACCACGAATCGAAGTGACTATCACATCATTCACTTAGTAACTTGGATGCTCTATCTTACACTAGACGTAGGCAACAAGGTCATAAGTCGTATTCTGAATACAACCTCTTTTTACATGATGGCAAACTCAACCAAAGGCTTAAATGAATGATACCGCATTCACTTTACGGTAACGTAGGCCCATGTGTACTTCTTACTCTAGTTATTCTGGACGCAAGTACGTCGTAGCAACGTTGTACACATAAGTTCTACATAATACTAGGCCATAGTAGGTCGCTGCCAAAAAAGTGCTTACAAGAAGCAGCAGTTTTATAATGTAATTATGGTTTCGATGAAAGCACGTTTTAAATCAAGTACAATCATACCGTCGTACAATACGAACATGTTTATATCACGCTGTTGTTACTTCAGAATCGATATCATCGTTTCTGGAATGTTTTTGTCACATCTTGCGCTTATATAATGACGCACACTCTAGTCCATTCATTTGTTTGCACAAACAATGACACTGCAGGATAAAGCTGCATCCATACGATTCTTCTGCGAAGAACTAGAAGAGGATCTCACAGTTCAACTAGCAAAACAGTTTCAATTGAATCCCGTATCGACGGATGATAATGAAGTGTCATTGATTGCACAAGAGACAGTCGACCTGATTGCACGCAATGTCGTGGGCCGCCAGACGCTTTTTGAGTCACCGTTTGGTGCCCGGGCGTTATGTTACGCGGATTTTACAGCGAGTAGTAAACCTTTACAATGTATTGAAGACTATTTAAATCGAGAGGTTATGCCATTCTATGGGAATACCCACACGACGGCATCCATAACGGGTCTCCAGACCACTTGTTTTCGACATGAGGCACGACAAATTGTCGCACAAGCTGTTAATGCCAAGATAACGGGTCGTGGAGCTGAAGATTGTGTATTATTTACAGGACCAGGAAGTACCAGTGCAATCGTCAAGCTTATACAAGTACTTGGGCTCCATCAATTCAGTCTGACGACACCACTTGACCAGCGACCCATTGTCTTTGTCGGACCCTTTGAACATCATTCAAACTTGTTACCATGGCGGGAAAATGCAGTGGAAATTGTAATGATACCAGAGAATCAAGAGGGATATATGGACCTGAAAGCACTGGAAATGCAGCTGGAGATTTATGCAGCGCGGCCACTGAAAATTGGCGCGTTCTCGGCTGCATCGAATTTGACAGGTGTATTGACCGATGTTGATGCAGTGTCGGCACTACTGCATCAACACGGTGCGTTGGCGTGTTGGGACTATGCAACATGTGCACCGTATGTAGATATCGACATGAACCCTGTTGTAACGGACGAAACGCAACGCCCTTTTGTGTATAAGGACGCTGTCTTTATCTCTGGGCACAAGTTTATTGGTGGACCCGGTTCACCTGGTGTGTTAATTGTCAAGAAGCGTCTACTGACGAATGCAGTACCGACAGTCCCGGGAGGTGGTACTGTCTTCTTTGTCACGGAGAACGATCACCGCTATCTGTCGAACCGTGCAGAGCGTGAGGAGGGTGGTACTCCCGATATCTTAGGCAGCATTCGTCTAGGACTCGCGTTTGAACTCAAACAGCGTATTGGGACGAAGAATATCTCGATTTTGGAACGACGTAATGTGCTGTGCGTTCGTGAATCGCTTCTGCAGAACAAGGATATCGTGCTGTTGGGACACCACGGCAACGAAGTGGAGCAGATTCCTGTGTTTTCGTTTCTGGTACGCTTTGGTGACCGCTTCCTGCACTACAATTTTGTGTGCGCACTTCTGAACGACCTGTTTGGTATCCAGACGCGAGGTGGCTGCCAGTGTGCTGGTCCATACGCTACTCGCCTGCTAGGTCTTGAGCGTCGTGATGTGTTGGCGCTTGAAAGAGCACTTATTGAGAAGAAGGAATTGTTGCGTCCAGGTTTTACGCGGATGAGTTTTCCATACTTTATGGGCACAGCGGAAATCGAGTACGTGCTAACAGCAGTAAACTTTGTGGCTTCTGACGGCTGGAAGTTCCTGCCACAGTATAAGTTTGACCACAAGAGCGGTGTGTGGAAACACTGGTCTCGCTTTACGAAATTTCCTGACCGCAAGTGGATTTCTCACTTTGAAACGACACTGGAGAACAAGACCCGTTCCAAGATTCTTGATGATAGTGATGAAACGCTAGCTGCTCATCGCTCAGAAAACTTGATGGAAGCTCATCGATTGGCGAACGAAGCTAGTGAAAAAAGTGTTTCTGCTCAGGCGGTGGCGGCGTCTGCTGCGCAAATGCTAGAGGAGGCGGATGATGAGGCACTTCGATGGTTCGTATACCCTGCCGAGGCGGCCAAAGCTATCAAGAAGGGAGAGAAGCCTGTGATGTCAGAGACTATTCGAGGTCCTTTCCAGCCTGCGCGTTATATCACGGGTGAATTGAAGGACCAGTGGAAGGATACTACATCCATGGATATGTCTACTTCTGACGCTACGTCTGCCGCGGTGTGTGGTCTACCGACGTGCTGTCCTGTTCCACCAATACCAGCTGCTGTGAAGAATAACAGTAAGCATGCAAAGACATTTGTTGGTACCACCGGTCGTGAAGCGGGAGGCAAGTACCCGCTCCGTTCGACGATTGCCAATGGTACCATCGACGCATCAGTTGTTGCACAGGCTAATGCAAAGTGTAGACCTGACAATTGCGACACAGGCCGCTGTGAAGGACGCACGGCTCCGTCATGTGCAATTGGCACGACTGCAGTAACAGTACAGGAGACTACGAAGACAATGACCGAAAAGACAATCACAACAAAGCTATTCCCGACACCTCCAAAGAAACTTCTACGATGGGTGGGGCAAGCAATGATGCAGTGGGACATGATTCAAGAGGGTGATCGACTGTTGCTAGGTGTGTCAGGTGGCAAGGACTCACTGAGTCTGCTTCACGTACTGCTGACATTCCAAAAGCGTGCTCCCGTTCGCTTTGAGCTTGCTTGTGCGACAGTGGACCCACAGACCCCTTCATTCGACCCGAGCCCGTTGAAAGAATACATGCGTGCACTGGACGTACGTTACTATTATCTATCGGAGAATATCATTGAGCGTGCAACGTGTGAGATGAATGGTGACTCGCTGTGTAGCTACTGTTCACGCATGAAACGTGGTGTGCTGTACACATGCTGTCGTAACTATGGCTACAATAAGCTCGTACTGGCTCAGCACCTTGATGATCTCGCGGAGAGTTTCTTCATGTCTGCCATGCACAATGGTCAATTACGTACTATGAAAGCAAAGTATTGGAATGATCAACGGGATGTCGAAGTGCTTCGTCCATTGGCCTATGTGCGTGAGGTGGACTTAAAGCGGTTTGCGTATGATTCATGTTTGCCCGTGATTAATGAAAACTGTCCCGCGTGTTTTGAAGAACCAAAGGAGCGTCGTCGAGTCAAGAAGATGCTTGCTCAAGAGGAGAGTTTGTATCCAGACATGTACAATAGTTTACGACGTGCTCTATTACCACTCATGGATGATGCTAGTTATGCACCATTAGAGGCCATACGGACTCGTGTCGAGCAAGCGAAACAAGAACGTAAACAAAGAATTGTGAGCAAAGGACGTGAGATCACAAAGGAAAATAATGATGAAGAAGAGAGAGAGAGATGACAAGACAAGTTCGATGATACATGCGTGCATTATCATTTGACGTAGCAAGTCAATTGAACCAATTTAATTTGGGTCAGAATATGTATATAAAGTGTTGCAGGGACTGTTATTTGCGTAGCAGAATATAGAAGCACTTGACATTAAACGGAGTTACGACTATTTTATTTCGTGTCAAAAGAGTTTAGTAAGCCATTTGTTCGACTGGATTTTGCAGTCAGATGTTTTGATTTTGGGTACTTTAGTGTAAGAAATGCTTTTTCTTACAGTTTTGTTTCGCTCGAGTTGACTCAAATGGCTTGTCTATGTATTGAATTAGTGGGCTTCGTGTCCACACTGTCTATCCTACATAAAAAAAAAAACCTGCAGAAAGTGACTATACAACTACTCATATCAAGTGTCGCACTATCTGATGGTACTCATCTGATGACATGGAACCACAATCTGACGATTTACGCACATTCTCTCTACCATATAAAAAGTTTCTATCTCCTCCCTCCTTCATTCTCTAACTGACTGGCTAGTATAATAAATAACCACATAAATTACCATCTCGATGATCAATACAGCCGAGATATGTCGTCCTCGTACGGCATTTCCTCCATCTTCTTCTTCTCCTTCTAATGGTGATTATCTGCACGATATGAATGAAACCTCACGTCTGACGGATTCTACTGGTCAACGTGAAAGTTCATTTACCTATGGCTATGGGCCTGGTGGTCAACGTCAAACGGAAATGAAATTACTTGCCGTCGAACCGGATTTAGGAGCAGCTCCAGAACGAATGGAAGATTATAAAGGACGTCGTCGTACATGGCCTGGTGTTCTATTACTTGTAGTGATTCTACTAGGTGCTTTAACTTTAATTACATTGAATGCAATAGATGCAAATAAACAAGCAAGTCTCAATGCACAACGATATGAATACGCAGCTCAATCAAATCGACGGATTAAAGACGGACTATTTGATGAGAATGTCTTGATTTCAGATGACGGTCAGGTTGGAAATCCAAAGGTTTATCCAGATATGAAGTGTCAATTACCTGATTATCAGAGTAAAAAGGGTAAAATCTATGCCGTGAGTCAAAATGGCACGGAACTTCCAATTGGAATCAAAGGATTAAATTGGTTTGGGATGGAAACGGCCCCAGCTCTTCCGTTTGGATTATGGGAAAATATGGAAAATGGTACATCGGTGTATGAAGTTGCAGCATTCTTAGCTCGAAATAAATTCAATAGTGTACGTTTACCACTATGTATTCAACATATACTCAAAGATACAGCACCAGAGAAATCACTGATTAATTTACAAACAAATCGTGCAATTAACATTACGTCCTATATGACAACGATACAAACAATTGTTCAAGCACTTGGATATCGTAAAATTTCAGTCATGATTAGTCTACACACGTTGATACCTAAAAATCCAGGTGGTGCATGGTTTAGTGACAAACTTGGTGTGACGGAGGAGGATTATCTCGAAGCGGTTGATATTTTGACGCAACATTTGTGTACTTCCAAGTATTGGAATATTCTTGGACTGGACTTGAAGAATGAACCACATGAATGTTCCTGGGGTGGTGACGATCCAGATTGGCAAAAAGGAGCAACATTAATTGGAAATCGAATGCTTAAAGGATGCCCAAACTGGCTGGCTTTTGTCGAAGGGATTGCTTCAAAGGGCACGATTACGTTGAATGGCGAAGAAGCTACTTATTTTGATTGGTGGGGAGGGGGTCTTGCTGATGCTGGCGCGAATCCTCCTACATTTGACATCAAGAACAAGTTGGTATGGGCTCCACATTACTATAACACTGGTGTGAGTCCAGCCTGGTACCTCTATGCCTCGGGTACTCAAAACGCTGAAGGAGCACGGGATGATTACGTCGAGCTTGACGACGACACGCTGAGAAACAACGTGGAGAAAACGATGGAGAAAATGTTTGGCTATTTGCAGACTGAGGACCCAAACTCCGCTTTGATTATGGGTGAATTTGCGGGTCTGTACGCTAAGGACGCCCACCCGATGCTTACAACAAAGCGCACAACAGATTTCACAGTCGAGGTCATGATCAAGGCGAAGTATGCTGGAGCCTACATGTGGTCATTGAACCCCGAGAGTGCATACCAGTACAATCCAGCAGACGTTTTTGGTCATTTCACCGAGGGTCTGCTGGAAGATGACTGGTTGACACCAAACGAGGTTTTTGTCAAAGGCATGGCTCCGCTGGACGAGATTCAGGATCTGAGGATGTTTCCATGCTTTGCAGAGAGTGTAGTGACTTGAAGTCCGAGTAAGGTAGGAAGGCACTTGCTTTTGCTTAGTGGCAGCTGTCTGTTGCTGTATTTTCCACTTCTTGTTCTTGGGATGTCATAGTTGCAGTTCCGAGAAATGAATAAGTTTGAGCTTTTTTACCACTGTGGCCGTGTCAAGTTGACGACATCATTGATGCAATTCAGGACGAGACAGTCAACTTGAGACCTGACAATGTTGCAGTTTTGCACATTCAATACCTCCAGAGCAAGTCTGGTCATCTGCAATAACGCCTTGGCCATTGACCTCCTGCCAAGTGCCTATCAATACGAAGCTTTGCACATGCCTGCTCTTCCAACACAGGATGTTTGGCCATTCTTTTTTACGTCATTCTTCAATTTGGACACTCGTGCAGTGCAGGCTATGTCAGTTGACACGCAATGAAGTTCGACCGACGTCAGAATCCACCTCAGCAGTTGGTGATGCCGGTTGTGTCGCTGACCTAATTATCTTTGCTTGACCATGAATTCTGAGTACACGGCATCTGCAGGATGGAGTTCTGGTTCCGACGGCGGTAGAGAAAGCATGAAACATATAGGGAGAGAAAGCTAATGGCGATGGATTCAAGTGACAACTCATCACCACCATAGGCAGAGACTGGTGGCCGAATTCGGGTACGTGACTGGAAGGTAATCGTGGTGTTCGACGTTTGTCATTCCGACTTTTTTACTTGACCGCAGCAATTACAACAACATGTGCCAATGACAATGCCTTCCATCAAGTTCACGAAGAGAGTCGATCAGACGTGCGACGAAAATGTGCTCCTCTCCGACGCCGGACAAGTCGAGACCTCAAGAAATAGAGCTGTGAACGGCTCGATTACAAAGGAAGAACGGACAGACTGCCGCTGTGTTCTTCGACTGCACAAGCGGTTCCAGCCCGTCAAGCCGAGACAGCTTTGGTCATACCCTTTTGGATCCAGAATAACCGTCATGTTGATCTCTTACAAGATGGTAGGTAGGCTTCCTAGTATGTTACAAATTCAGTAGGGTAACATGTTTGCTTGTGTGCATCAAGCTCATCCATCCACCATCCTCAACAAGAGGATTCATTCAATAACACTCGAACACAAACCACGTCATCATCAACATTACATCGCATATCTCAATGTTTGAGATGGTTGTAACAAGCGCTCATTTTTTGCAACTCTCACATCAGCCTTCAAACGTTTGAGATTCCAAGCAAACCTGTTACAGCTTCACGTATGAGAAGTGTTGTCCGACTCGATCTGAACAATGAACTACTCATGGAAGAAGACACTGGACTGGTAGAAGGGTGCGACATTAATTGGCAACCGCCTGCCGGGGAGGACCGTCTTGGATGTGTTTGCCAAAACTACATATCGCCAGCTCGTGTACCTGTTACGATGTGGGCAGAAGGAAGCTAAACCACTACGTCGAGTTGGATGACGTTGCATTGAGAAACACAACGTGAAGGAGACTACCTCACACACACGATGTGTTGGGTATATGCTTGATAAGAACTCGGCTATGGTCATGGGCAAATGTGTTCAACCATTGCGTGAACAGCAACGACACCAAATGTACGACGGACTGCACAATTGAGGTCATATGCCCAGTGGGTGGATGAATGGATACATGTGATCATGAATAGCTCTGAAAGTGTGTGATAGATACGTGGATTGTTTGATACTAAGCAAGGCGTGAACGCCATGAAAATGACCTGATCAACATCGTTGTATTGTTGTTCATTGAAAGCAAAAGTAGCTCATAGCATAGTAAAGACTACAGAAAAGCAAAAGACAAATGCAACGCAACCTTTATCCATTACATACGCTACAGAGAGCTTATAATAAGTATCTTACCAACAATAACCTTCCAGAGAGAGAGACAAATGGGAGAAATCACCTTCTTGTCATACCAAAATTCCAGTTACTATTCCACTTGCGTTACTGACATCTCATAGCTGATATTTTACCTTATAAGACGTGTCATTCAAGAATAGCTATCATATACACGGCCTGTCCTATGAGGAGTTTCATTCGTTTCAACCGTCCCAAAACTTGCTACTTTCTAACGATACTACGCACGCCATGATTATACCAAACGCTCTTACCCGCTTCTTGATTCTCATTTTACATTCTTCTTCTAGTAACAATCACCACAAGTTGAAGGTGTGAGGATGGAGGTATCTCGTCCAATGACGACTAACTCAACACTGGCGGACGATCCGTCGGTTTCGAGTCAAATGAATGAATATTCAAGCGGTCAGTTCAATGCAAACCTTGAATCGTCTCAGCGAATGACAGAGTCTGGAGGGCGTGTAAGCTCCACGTACGGCCAGCGTCAGACTGAAATGAGACTCAAAGCTGCTGACTTTGATGATCTACCACCCGAAAGAACCAAGGATTACAAAGGACGGATTCGGACGTGGCCTGGATTGTTATTGCTACTACTTCTGATTGCAGGTGCTGCAGCGATCATTGTACAGCAGTCGATAAAGACAAGCGATTTAATGAGTGCCAACCAAGAAGAGTATGAGCTAGAGCAAGCCAATCGGCGAAAAATTAAGGATGGCATGGAAGACGATCAAGTGCTGATTTCAGACGACGGACAGGTTGGGAATCCTAAAAAGTACCCGGACATGGGCTGTGAATTACCTGATTATCAAAGCAAGAATGGAAAAGTTGTTGCCGTATCAAAGAATGGCACAGAGGTTCCAGTTGGCATAAAGGGTGTCAACTGGTTTGGAATGGAGACTGGTTTGGCCATTCCATTTGGATTATGGGAAAACATTGAAAACGGCACGTCCGTCTACGAGGTGGCAGCCTTCTTGGCTCGCAACAAGTTTAACAGTGTGCGTTTGCCAGTGTGCATCAAAAACATCCTCAAGGACACGGCACCGGACAAGTCGCTAATTAACATGCAAACAAACCGTGCCATCAAAATTACGTCCTACATCTCGACTGTCCAGTCAATTGTTGAAGCGCTGGGCTACCGTCATGTTTCGGTTCTTATCAGCCTCCACACTTTGGACCCGAAAAAGTCGGGTGGCGCCTGGTTCAGTGAAGAGCTTGATGTGACCGAGGATCAGTTTCTCGAGGCTGTTGACATTTTGACGCAAAACTTGTGCAGCTCCAAGTACTGGAACATCATTGGACTTGATTTGAAAAATGAGCCACACGAATGCTCGTGGGGAGGAGCAGAACCAGATTGGCAGAAGGGAGCGACGTTGATCGGTAACAGGATGCTGGAAAACTGCCCAAACTGGCTAGCTTTTGTCGAAGGCATCGCTTCGAAGGGCACTATTACGTTGAATGGGAAGGAAGACACTTACTTTGATTGGTGGGGAGGTGGTCTTGCTGATGCTGGCGGTAATCCTCCCACATTTGACATCGAGAACAAACTAGTATGGTCGCCACACTACTACAACACCGGCGTGAATCCAGCCTGGTACCTCTATGCCTCGGGTACTCAAAACGCTGAGGGTGGACGTGATGGCTACGTCGAGCTTGATGACGACACGCTGAGAAATAACGTGGAGAAAACCATGGAGAAAATGTTTGGCTATCTGGTGAATGAAGACACAAACTCCGCTATGGTCATGGGTGAATTTGCTGGCCTGTACGGTAAAGACGCCCACCCGATGCTCACAACAAAACGTACCACAGATTATACAATCGAGGTCATGATCAAGGCGAACTACGCTGGAGCCTACATGTGGTCATTGAACCCCGAGAGTGCGTACCAGTTTAACCCGGCCGACACTTTTGGCCACTTCACCGAAGGTCTCCTGCAGGACGACTGGCTCACGCCAAACAAGGTGTTCGTAGAAGGCATGGCTGCATTGGACGTGATGGAAAACCTTCAACCGTTCCCTTGCTTCCCCGAAGAAAAGGAGGGTTCCTCTTCAAAAGAAGCATTAGCAGAAGAAGAGTAGATAAAGCGTATGAATATTATCACTCCAGTACCAAAGTTGCTAAGCAGGCATCGTATCATTCCAAACAAGAGATGAAAACGGGTACGGACAGGACAGAACATCCGAGAACCAGGTGGCCCGATCGAAATGTTTCTTCATCTACAAGTCTTGCGTGTCCATCTGTTAGCGATACCGTCATAACATCTTGACAAACAATACACGTGCAAGGAGCTCAGTAGGTGTCAGTCGTAGAGACAAATGAGCGAGGCAACGTGCGGCGAGTACATCAATTCAAAATATCGTTCAACAAAACTACGTAAACCTGCTGAGGTATCTTCTAGGCGTCGAATGAACGAAACTATGAGCCATGTCATCGAGCAATCGGTTCTACCTCGTGCCGTACGTCCATGAGTTTATTCTCACGCGCTATCTGTGAGCGAGTGGATCCACAAATACCCATTGCTCAAGTTCCACGAGAGATAGTTTCAATATAAAGTAGTCTTCGCCTTTGACCATGATCGTTTGTCTTTCACTACCATTATTCCACTCGTCCTCTAAACTTATGTGATGGTCGTCATACGTTCATACAGAGCCTGAACCAATACCTTATCGAGATGTTCAGCTGGTCGCTGGCTGACTCATGTCAGTGACAGGCGACGATAAGATAAGATGGCTGAAGCGGCTGGATAGCGTTGAGGGCAACACAAAAATGACGCGCAGCGAATGTCAGTTGTCCATTAGCCGTTAACTCAAAGCTTCTTGAGTTTGGACTCCTTGACGTTTGGTTTCCACGACAATGAGAGATCATCGCGTTAGTTTCATGGCAGAACGACCTAGTGAGCGGTTGTCAACTCCATGGCAGATTGGGACGGACGTTGTTCGACACGAATGGACTAAAGCGCCGGTGCAACAGAAACTACCAGTCTCGGCCTTTTACTCGAAGAAAGACCGATTGACACACGAGTTCTTCCAGAACGCGCGACTTGTGATCAAGAAACCGGGTGGATCGGAAGACGAAGCAGACTATAAAGGACAGTATCGAGTACGAGCGCTAACTTTTATGGATGTGTGTGGTAGTGATGGTTGGTAATTAACGAATGAATGAAATTGACGGTGCTAGATTTGGCCGGGTCTGTTGCTGCTATTCGTGCTTGTCTCGGGCGCTACGTGTCTGATTATAGCAGGAGCGATGAAGACATCAGAAGCGCTTGCAGCACGAGCAATGCAATACGAGCAACATGTATCAGGGAAACGATCCATTAAAGACGGCAAGATCGATGACAGCATTCTCATCTCGGACGACGGTCAAGTGGGCAACCCCAAGTCGTATGACACTAGCGTCAGTACGTGGTTGGTTGTCTTACTTCTTACGATCGTACATGATCGTTGAGCTTGCTAACTTTTGATGCAAATTCTTGTACACTGCCGCAGCCTGTGAAATGCCCGACTATCAGAGCAAAAACGGTCAAATCGTAGCGGTTTCTGCCAATGGTACCGAGATAGCAATTCAGATCAAAGGTGTTAATTGGTTTGGTATGGAGACAGCGCTTGCAGTACCATTTGGTCTCTGGGAAAACGCAGAAAACGGAACAACAGCAGTAAGTTGTTTGTACGTTTTCTATCGAGTGTGGGTGTAGTTTACGCTAACTTAAAGGTGATGTGATGTTTGCAGTACGAGATCGCCGCGTTCTTAGCACGCAACAATTTTAACGCAGTGAGACTCCCGATTTCTGTCGAGAACTTGCTGAATAACAATCCACCTCAAAAAGGTGTGATCAATCTCGGAAGCAATCGTGCAATTAATGGAACGGATTTCATCTCGACCTTACAGACAATTATCAAGTCGCTTGCGTACCGGAAGATTGGTGTGCTAATAAGTATGCACCGCTTAACGAACAAACAGTCCGGTACAACATGGTTTGACACTGACCTCGGTGTCTCGGAAGATGATTTTTTAAATGCCATTGATATCGTATCGTCAAACCTTTGTGGACAAGACTATTGGAACGTAATGGGCATTGATTTAAAAAATGAACCGGAAGTTGCAACGTGGGGAACGGGTGATGACGATGATTTTGTCATTGGGTGTGAGAAAATTGCCAAGGTAATGCATGGAAAGTGTCCCCAATGGCTTGGTTTCGTTGAGGGTGTCGTGTCTGTCCATAGTATTACGATTGAGAAGGAAGAACTGGATTACTATGATTGGTGGGGAGGTGGATTGCAGAAAGCAGGTCGTATGCAACCCGAGTTTACTATTGCAAACAAATTAGTCTGGGCTCCTCACTATTATACAACTGCTGTAGCACCTCAACGATATTTCTATGGTAATGGAACAACATCAGACTTTTCAACGTATGTGGAACTATCCGAGAAAGACCTTCATGAACGAGTGGAAGGTACGATGGATGATATGTTTGGATATTTAGTAAAGGAGAAACAATACGCATTAGTCCTTGGAGAGTTTGGTGGTTTATATACAAAAGATGCTCATCCAGAGCAAACAACAAAGCGTACAACGGACTTGACCGTTCAAATCTTAATGGAACAGGAATATGCGGGTGGATTTATGTGGTCATTAAACCCAGAGAGCAAATATGACTATAATGCAGCTGATACAAAAGGAAGATTCACGGAAGGATTGTTACTTGATGATTGGTTATCACCAAACGATGCTTTTCTCAAGGCATTTACACCAATGGATACAATGTCAAATTTACGAAAATTTCCATGTTTTTCGATCGAGAAAGACGAATGAAATGTAAAAGTTTGATAGTCTTAGTAGGAGTGGCTATTTTATGTTGACAACATAAGTATTATGTGTCATACATTTTCGAAGTAGTTGGTATTTCATGAAGTAATTTTAAAGTCTAATGTCAGGTGTGTTTCACTTGACTGACATTACATTTGATTGGTTATAAATTGTGTGGATCATACTTATAGCAAGGGGTTTTCTTCTTCTTCTCACTGTCTCTTATTTTCCTTCTTCTTCACGATCGTTATGTTCTTTGAACAATCTCAACTGAATAAATGGACACATTTCCTAGTGGTATCAATTACAATACTGATTTCATTAACGTTTGCTGATGTTGAAACACATGAGGTACGTAATAGAATTAGTAACAAACCTCTTAGGTGGCATAATTCGTATGCATGTCATTTATTTTATGCTTTATGATAGTATACGCCAGGTGAAGAAGTGATTGTCTGGGTGAATAAAATTGGTCCATTTAATAATCCACAGGAGACATATACATACAATACATTACCATTCTGTCGTGCTCTTGGTGCTGAAGAACCTGAAGCTCATGCATTAGGAATTGGAGAGATTTTAGAAGGAAATGAGCTCTTTAATTCAGGTTTACAGCTCAAATTTGGTATCAATACACCAAAAACAACATTATGTCAACAGATTCTTACAGATGCTGATGCATTACAATTTGGAGAAGCAGTGGATGAACATTATTGGTATCAAATGAGTGTCGATGATTTACCTGTATGGGGTCTTGTTGGTAAAGTCATGAAACCAACTGATGATGATGAATATCTCAAAGTATTTCCAGTTGGTACGCGTGTGCTGTATACACATAAGAAATATTCCATCTCATACAATGGACCTAATATTATTCATGTGAATTTGACCTTTTCTGATGTACTCACGTCGATTGCATCCAATAAGAAAGTCGAATTTACGTACGAAGTCATGTGGTCCGAGACTACGATTCCATTTGAAGATCGGTTTGATCGATACCTTGAGGACGAATTTTTTGAGCATCAGATTCATTGGTTTTCCATTTTTAACTCGTTTATGATGGTTATTTTCTTATGTGGACTTGTGGCACTTATTTTGTTACGCACGCTCAAGAATGACTATGCACGCTTTGCTGAGGATGATACGGAGGAGATGATGATGGATGGAAAGTCGTCGTTGCTCAAGGACGATGCCAACTCAGGCTGGAAGCTGCTGCACGGCGACGTCTTTCGTGCTCCGCCCTATTTGCTGCTATTTACGGCGCTTGTAGGAACAGGAGCGCAATTATTAGTGTTGTCGGTGTGTCTCATGTTCATTGCTATTGGTATGTCGCTCTATATTAAGCCGGGTGGCGTCGTATCTGTAGGACTCACTGTATACGCCTTCTCTTCATTAATCAACGGATATGCAAGCGGTGCCTTTTACCACCAGTTTTTCTACCCGCGCATTTCAAAGGACTGGATTCGTGCCATGTGTTTGTCATCGTCACTGCTCCCAACGGTCACGTTTGTGTCAGTATTTTTCATCAACACGCTGGCTGTGCTCTATGGAACGACGTATGCCATTCCGTTTGTGACGATCGTACAGGTGATATTGGTGTGGTTCTTCATATCGTGCCCGCTTGCCGTTCTGGGTACGATATTGGGTCGACGTGGTACTGCAAAGGCAGGTTTCCCGTGCCGTGTAAACAAGTTCCACCGCGAAGTACCGGAGGCGCGTTGGTATCTACGCCCGCCGGTGCTAATCGCTCTCACGGGTGTGCTGCCGTTTGGGTCGATCTTCATTGAGATGTACTTTATCTTTACATCGTTCTGGAACTACAAGTTTTACTACGTGTATGGATTCATGCTGCTTGTGTTCATCATTCTGATGATTGTGACGCTTTGCGTAACGATCGTGTGCACGTATTTTTTGCTAAATGCTGAAAACTACCGTTGGCATTGGACGTCTTTTGCGGCTGCGGGGAGCACTGCAATCTACGTCTTCATCTACGCCATCTATTTCTATTTCTTCAAGACCAACATGTCAGGATTCTTGCAGACATGTTTCTACTTCAGCTACATGTGAGTAACTGTCGTGCATGACTGAATGAGTCATGATACTAACTGGTTTTCATCTTGATTGGCGTGTAGGGGACTGTTTTGTTTTACGTTTTTCATCATGTGCGGTACTATTGGATATTTTGGCAGCAGTGTGTTTACTAAGCGCATTTATCGCAACATCAAATGTGAATGAAGCGAGTGGCAGGTTTGTTGTTTAGTAACTACCGACAAAGGGCAGAAAGAGGAGTAAGCAATGACATAAGGTGTCGATCAATGGTAGAAGAAAGTTGGCAAAGAATATCAAGCTACCGGGCCAGGTCTGGTAATCAGGTCTATGTGCATTCGTGTTTTGTCGAGTCTTTTCTTGCTTTAGACGATGGTTGCAAGCGTAGCAAACTCTAGCAAAAGGCAGCAACACTAGAGAGCAGGACAGCAAGCACACGCCTCGCGTTCATCTTCAGTTGTTTTGCTTTAGAATGTACTGGGTTTGATCTGATGATCATATCAGCTAAGGAATCAATTGCTTGGTGGTGGCTTGGAATATGCTGACAGATTACACCAACAACAATACCGACTGACGGTAAATCATAGTAAGTGATGTGCAATGGCAATGACAGTATGGATCTCGTGGCCATGACGGTAACACAATTGCTGGAGCCAAAGAGCGATGAAAAAGACATATTTGTTACACAGATTGCAATGATTACGAGCGAGTGTGCATTTGCAGTCATCCAGCAACAAATTGCAAACCAGCATTTCAAGCAGCTCGACGAAGACCACGATGAAGACAAGTGGCAGCTGCTACATTGACAATGAGACAGAAGACTCACAGTGATAGAGATAAGAGGTCAGTGGAACTCCAGAACTGCATTGCAACATGCAACATGGCTACATTTGGTCAGTATGCTGACGTTACCAGTGACTGACACGTGGCTCCAATTGTTCAAACAGAAGGCCAAGGTTTCTACGCCAATTTCAGTGTGCTGAGCTCCTGCTCCAAATCAAAATGTCAGCAATTGCACAGCTACCGTGGAAAGAACACAACTGCTAGATATGTACCAAGTTCATAACGATGCGGTTCCACGCCTCCATATTCTTCACGAGTTGGCGCCATTGACTTTCAGCATTGCTACTTCGCACCTGACGCAGCTCCCTCTTTTCCTGCACCGCCTACATATCAAAACCAAGGAAAATGCGTCAAAAGACTAATGCACATAATCCTCTCTTGGCTTCTGTTTACAGGCTCACCATTTCCAAAAGAGGATCAATATCCTCGAACAAATGGAGTTTGTCATTGCCATCTATAGCACAAAAGAGTTAGACAGGACGCATGACAGGTCTAGCAGCCAACCGATTCCCACCTTCTTCAAACGTCCCTGTCTTTTGCTGTTCAGCCAAGAACGTTAAGCGCTCGGCCAAGTGGTCATAAAATTCATCGCTCAGCTCGTCGATACGGGTAGGTGGCGGAATTTTCACTTGCTCCTGATCGGCTTGCAAGCCTGGTTTACGACGTGCTTTCTGGGGATCTGTGGTGGGAGATGCCTGGCGACTGCTGCTGCTACTACTACGCTCACCCTGGGAGCTGCTTGATCCACTCCGTGTTCGTGTGCGCCAAATATTTGACGTTATTGGTGCTGCAGTAGGCGTAGTAGCATTATCGATGGTCCCATATGGTGGAGTACTTTCGTTTTCGACTACCAGTTTGTGTTTGTTGATTACACTGAAATCCGCGTTACGAGTAAACACAAGTCCGCGGAATGCGTAGCGCCGCACACTTCGTAAGCATTTCCAGAGTGTGTCAAATGATGTCGTCAGCGATGCCTATCACGACAGAAGGTGAAGGAGATCAGTGCAGTGCCGTACAAGCTAATCAGTTTTGATACCATTACACTTACTTTGGACGAACCAATGTGATACCTCTGGTTCAAGAACTCGATAAGCACGTGATGCACATGGTCAGGTCCGGCGTAAGACAGAACCAGCGTCTGGGCATCCTTACGGCGAAGCAAAAAGGTTCCAGACTCACGATTTCTGCAAAGATCACAAACAGCAGTTAGATTTGAATGTTTGGTCCACAGCTGCATTTTAAAACACACTAGACGCACGCAAGAAGAGCTTCGGCATGACCTCGACTAATACTGCCAGCGAAAAAGCGCCACGCCTCCTGGTCATTGCAACGATCTCTTTCAGCTCTTTCTGCTTCTCTCTGCCGCTCAAGAGCCTCTTCGATTTTTTCTCGCCTACGAGACTCAGCTGCAGCGACAGCATCCTCCTCCTCATTAATTTGTCGTGAGCCGGAAAACGGAAACTGAAACTCCTCCACAGACTCTGAGTCGTCATCAGTCTCGCCATTGCCAAGAAGACAACTGTTAGTGGCGCAGAGGTAGACACCTTTGTCAGCACCCAAAATCCAGCTACCACCGTAAGTGGAAGCGCGGTTGTCCGTGCGCAGCGCAGATTTAAAGTGCGCACTAATGTCGTCCTCCTTCTCCTCGTCGTTTGGGTTGAATGGCTCGTTAATCGGCATCATATTTTCATCACGCAACAGTGTCGTGATAGCTTTCGTAGGGATACGCAGTAAAGCCGTCGAAAAATGATGCAATGCATCGTCGGTTTGAATAACTTCCAGAGGTGCGGGGTTTCGAGACGTCTCCAGAATACCCTACAAAGAATAATGCAGTCAAGTAAAATGTTACTAGCTGTCATCTATCTCGTCAGGTCGTTTGCATCATAAATTTCACCACTGGTCTTGTCAAACGCGCAAGTCGTATGTGCTCCGTCGCAATGCGATCTCTGCAGATAAATTCGACCATTCGCTCCAGCGCCTTCCAGACAGGTGCATTCTTTTCATTCTCACCAAAGCTGGGCTTACCTACCGTCCACATCCATCCTTTATATCCTGCTGCCTATTACATTTTCAAACTCTCTACTAAAATTCAATCGCTATACAAGTCCAAAAAAATAAACATGAGCTCTTACTTTTGCATAAGCAGCAATGTCATTGCTTGTCATGATACGTTTCTGTAGTAAATCAGCCTTGTGCGAGAGAAGAAAGCATGGTGTTTCTTTGGGAGATAAATACTTGGATAAACAATGACGCCATTTATCAATGGCCGCAATTGAGCTCACACGATGGACATTAAAGACGAAAAAAATACCGTCCAATTCTTCACAGAGTAATGCATGCAATGATGACGCAGTCATGTCAATTTCAGCACTTGAAACGTCCCATAGATGCAATAATATGTCTTGTCCATGATATTGATACATGATTGTACTAATATCAATTCCAATAGTCGGTGAATAGGTCACTGGATACGATCGTTGAATCCATCGCCTTAATATACTTGTTTTTCCCTACATGATAGAAAAGTCAATTAATTATTAAGTAGAATGAATAATGAATCAACAATTAATTGATTGTATAATGATAGAATTATATTTACAACGGCAGTGCCACCCACAAGAGCAATTTTAAACTCTGGGATTGGACTAAATTCATTCTCACGTCGAAATCGTGTCCAGTGTTGAATTGCGTCTTGTGTTACATGAATACTCGTCTTTTCGATGGTATTATAGGATGAAATACGTGGAGAAATCAAGGACGAGTGAACTCCTTCACCTAAGAAGGTCGATGAAATGATCTTCATCCATTTTAATGTGGCGCTATCGGTCGATTCACTAGTTTGACGTGAATTGGGCATTTTCGAAACTGAGAAAGGAGACGATAGAAAATGAAAAATGGGTCATTTGGAGTTTTCAGTTTTGCTCTGAAGAGTAAAAGAGCAACTTATGACGAACAAGAGTGATGGTCGGGTGCTTTTTTTATGCTGTAAGAAAATAGTATACTACAATAGTAAAGTAGTAGTTTTGAGTCATACTTTTACCAACTTGCAGTTTGTATTACTACTACTACCATCTTATAACGCCTACATAAGGCTGCAAATTAACTCGCGATTATAACAAGTATGCACCCTGATGTTTCAGTAAGCTCTTACCACGACAACATTGCACCTATCAAGTATGCATCAATACATAGCAGTAACCTATAAGCTAATACGTACATGTTCGCTATATATACCTCTCAATCATGTTTAAGAGAGATCCTCACATTGCAGTGCATGATAAACCCCATCATTGTTCACATTATAGAAAATACTCATCTAAAACGTGTCTACTACTGCTACTAGTAGTTGTAGCAGTAGGAAGAGTAGCAGTGGTAAGAGTAGCAGTATTCTCCTCATACGAGCATAAAAACAGAATGTTTGGTCCATAGCAAGCAAACAATTCAACTTCGCCTACAAAGCCGTGAGACCAACCATTATAGTTCCTACTGTTGATCGTCTCTCAATGAGCAACTTAGTGACTTCAATTCAACAGCACTGACGCGCATTGCTGACGCACTGGCCTTTTCTCAATCTTAATGCTCATTGGTCAATAATAAAAAACTCTGCCATGCGTCACTTGCAGTATAATAAATAAATAAATAAATAATAAAACTAAATTAACGTCCTCAAAAGAATAAAAATGCGACGTCGTCCGCGCTCTTCATTACCTCGAGATACTTCTACTACTTCTACTCTTGCTTCTACTACTTCTACTCCATCTTCTGCGGCTTGTAATGGTATATTCTTTCGTTTACCATGTGCTTTACTTGTGGAATTTCTAGATCTACGTGAAGCTATTAATTTTTTAAATACAAGTCGTTGGTTTCGTTCCGATCGTGTCTTGACATCAACGGCATTAGAAAAGACACGCTATGCTCAACACTTTCATCAGAAATGTGCTGCTGATTGGTGGCATTTAACACCATTATGGAAAACTGGAGAAAATTCATTAAATGGAAGAGAATGGGATGAAGATGATCGTACAAGTCAAGAGAATGTTAATATACCAGAAGGTTGGGAAGATTATCATGTACGTACAGCTGCTGGTAAAGAGCTGACGTATTGGAAAGATACGGTGCGAGATACACCACAGTGGCAACATGTACCACTTTTATCCATTATTGACTTTATGGTCTCAAAGCTATTGCCACAGAGCTATATTACGTTTAAATATGCAGCTACTGTGTATACTGCCAGACCGGTGATTGTTAGACTGCATCCATCATGCGAGAGAAAAAACGAGACAAGGAGAAAACAAGAACAGGATGCTAAGGATCAAATTGTTGCACGCAAGATGAGTGAAGCTCTTGGCGCCCAGAATGGAAACGGTAAACTTACATCACTTTTTGGACTTCATTGGGAGAACATGAATGTGGACTCAGAGACGGGTGGAGTGACCTGTGCAGTCTGTCAGTTGTATGCTCATGAGGTTGAACGGTACCAGACGAAAGTGGCAGAAATGATTAGTGAGTGGCGAGCAGCTGTGAAGGCTGAACTTCCTGGATGGAAAGAGAAGGGTATGCACCAGATGGAGATTGACCGTCGGACGTACGAGATGCGAGAAGACATGATCCCGTACAATGGCTTCTTCACGTCCAACGTCGCGCGTCGTCATGGAGATATCATTATTCGCCACATTTGTTCCTACTGGACGACGCTGGACCATCTCAAGATAAACACACTCGAGTATCGAGACGCCTCACAGCTCGTCGCTGCGCTGACTTCAGACATCAGGAAACAGTGCCAGCATTTTTCGAAGATAAAGCAGGCTATGACGCACGCGTTTCCACGTGTCGCAAGAGTCCGCTACGAAGTGAATGAGACAGAATCTGCGCCATCATCGAATTTGTGGCAGAATCCAGCCGTCACGGAGCTGGTTGCTGGTGTATCACATTCAGGATTTCTTTGTGGCATGCTGTTTATCGAGAAGAGCGTTTAAGCACGTAGAGATTATATTTTGGAGGGTATGCGAGTTTCACTGCTCTCTGCTTCTACTTCGAGGTAGCTTGTATCCGTGGACTGTACCGTAGGAATATTAGAGCAAGTGTGTGTATTAACGGATCTGGCTAGCGCGAAGGCAAGGACTGGATGGTAGCAGTGTTGCTGATAGCACGAAGTGAGATAATGCCAAAATAAAATGATCTGACACGACGGCTGTGGTGTTCAATCATGCACATACCAGATTATAGCTATGGTAGCCCCATCGAACAACAGACCGGACATCATGACGCTTTTCATCTCGTTGCTACGACCACAAGCTAGCATCCAGCCACTATCCTGTTCAAGTGAATGCTATTGTGGACTCCTGTCAGCATTCAAGACGATCCTTTGCAACAAGAGACGCCATGTACGGATGGTTGTCACGCAATGCCATTTCTCGACTCGATGCTTGAAAAGTGGATACACTGCAGTAGATGGATCTTAGTATTTGAATTAGACACTGCAAGCGTCCGTCTCCATCACAAGCATAGGAAAAAAAAGAGAGTCTGCAGCACTAGACAAAGATCAGACATCTAATCACCGTCCGAATCAATCGCATTGTTGTTCACTATTGTGTTGTTGCGTAAAGATGAACAAGAAACGTCGTGTAGCAGCAGCAACAGGAGACGACACGTCCACATCATTGACTAGTGCTCTTGCAGTCATTTTCACACCACAGAGAGATTTATGGAGGTGCTTTGATGTCAAATCAACGCTCACACTCGTGTGCGTACACACGGCAGCTTGCAAACTACTTGGAACGTGGCTTGATGCAGTGATGACGGATATCTCTTTACAAAAAGAAGCGCTGCCGATTCCAATCCAGCTACCACCAAGTACTCCATTCTACACGAAACTTGTCACTGTGACAAGACTCATGATGGCTTTTACTTACATCACGGCGGTTCAATTCCCAGTCAGTAGCAAGCCGTATAATCTACCATCGGACCTCTTGTCCAAGCAGCGAAATGACAAACAATGTGAACGAGTCCGTTGTGGTCGCCAAGTGAAAGTCGTGCTTACTGAGTGCACTGAAAAGGGATGGGGTGTAGTTACTGCTCAGCAAATGAAGCAAGGTGAGTTTGTGGCGGAATATACGGGTGAGCTCATCTCGTCCCAAGAAATGCGGCGACGGTATCAAGATCGTTACGACAAGAATGCACTAAACTACGTGCTGTCACTACGGGAGCATGTGGCTCGACAAAACCACTTGACGCTCGATTTTAATGTTGTGCGTACAAACGTGGACGCGACATGGAGTGGAAACGTGACGCGCTTTATCAATCACAGCTGCTCGCCCAATTTAGAGGTGAAGGCGATACGTGTGGACTCGTTCGTTCCACGTTTGGCACTTTTTGCTCACAAGTGTATCAAGATTGGTGAGGAACTAACTATTGATTATGGTGATGGCGCTAAAGACGCAGTGAATGATAGAGAAGCACAAGATCAAATAGGACAAAGAAGACCGTGTCGATGTAGAGCTCCCGAGTGTCGAGGGTATCTGCCATTCGTATCGGAATGATTAGCCCCAAGTAGCTTTTGCATTTTGTAGACGACTTGACTTTCCAATTGACTGGTGGCCACAATGGTGGACAAGACGTATGATCAAGTGTGCAAAGATGCGAGTGCCGCCGCTGAGACGCGATTGCTGGAACACTTGAAGCATCATGGAGGAGACGTCTGGAATATTGGCGCTGGATGCCACAATTGCCGTCAGAAAAGAGAGGACGTTAGTGATCTGAAGGTGGTGAGACAACCAACGACTTTGACTGAGGAGCTCCTGAACGATTCTCGAAAATCTCGACTGAATCTTGTTACTGTTGCTATTGTTTGGCTTAGCGCTGTGCTCAATGTAATGCAGCTTTGTTCTGCAATCGTGAGTGTCAAGTCGCGGCCTGGCCTGCACATAAGGTCGAGTGCTGTGTCATTGCGACTTTCAATCGACTACACAAGTCCAGCAATTCTGACTCCAAGTGCGTCCTTATCTACTGCAGTGGATGGAATTGACGTGGGCGTCGACTCAATCGCTTATGGCTTGTTGTTTATATGATGCAGACTTGCTTCGCTGCTCGAGACACTCACGTTTTCGTCCTATCCCAAGAAAATTGATGAGCCCAAGCTTGTTGGCGTTGCAAGCTCGATTGGCATGAACGGTCCAGAAGCCCCAGGCTGGTTCTTCACGGTAGACTTTGAAAAGGTGCTTTGGTTCTTGCGTTGTAAATGCCTTGAACTATGCAGGTGTCAACTGAGCATCTCCATTATTCGTGTAGGCATCAAAGGAGCGGCAAAAGGTCTTGTACCAAGCGGTACTTGAGCTGTATGGACTTCTTAAAGACGACGAGTGCTGGTACAAAGAAGAAAATGCTCGCTATGCTGGCATTATTGATATTAACGTAGCCACTACTGCTTGTAGGACTCGTGACAAAGAAAGCTTTCCGCGTTCAAGCTACACGCTGGTGGAGGTTGGTGGTTACAGTATTGCAACTGGATATGTGATGATGATGCGCGACAACCACTGACATGAATGCTCGATACTTGCATGATTAGTCGCTGCCTCGCGTAATTTCTACGGCAGAACAATTGCAAAAGCGTTTCATTGAGCTAGATGGACATCTTTTGCTGTTCTCGGCATGGCTGCAGCACCCAGAGCCACCTGCCACACAGGCCATGCCCTTCGAAGACCGCAGTTTTTTTGGCGTAGTAGATTCGCTTCTTCAGATCAGGTATGAGCACTGTTCGTCGATTATTGCTTTGCTTGCATCGTCAGTACTAATGCTTATGCTTCAGTACTCTTCGTGACGGTGTGGATGCCTTTGTGAATGCAAGTCCGTAACACAATAACAAGATCATCTTGCATACAGCCTCATTCATTCAAGAATAATTTGTAACTCATACATGCAGCCAGACCATGCGCTTCCTTTACTGCCCCTGATCTGCAGCGCAACGCAAAAATCAATAGCAGTGTGGTGCCACACCTCACGGTGGCACCTTGGCAACACGATACAGTGTGTCCAGCATTTCTTCAATATCCTCATCCAGCTCATAGCACTCGAGTGCAGCAACAACCTTTTCATCGTCGCTCAAGATCAAATCCTTTAGACGTGCCTTTTCCTCTGCTGAGATCAACTTGTCTGCTGCGATGCGGCTAGCTGCCTTGAGTGCCAACGCGTAGCGAGCTCGTCGTGACAATGAACGTTTCTTCGGCAGTCCGTCCTCCCCTAGCTCCCCTTCTAGCAAATGAGAATGCTCATGAATCAGTATTGAGCTCGCAGTAGTCTGATTGCTGCTTGATCGCAGTGGGCTCCTTACCATCAAGAATGCCTTTCTCCTCCAGCTCGGTTACAGAAGGTCTTTGACGCAATTGGCGTGCAATCTGGTCCGTCTTCAACTGATGTTCTAGCTGATGTTTAGTCCCTTGCAATACTGGTGCTAGTGCTGCATCCTGTTCTGCTCAATCATAGCATAGCCACCACAAGCACAAAGGTTCACAGGTTCAATATGAGTAAGAGCCAGATAGATAAATACCTTTTCAGGTCGACTGCTTGATAGATAATACACCAAGCAGTCCATTTCTCCATCACTCCATAACTCCAATCCCTCCATGCAATTTCTATCAATTACCTTCTAGAATATGATGCGAAACAAGTTCTTCCTTCTCCGGTCGAGATTCAAGTAAATGTGACACTTGATCCTGTACGAAATTCCTCTCCAGTTTCTTTGCTGTTGCCGTAAGACTTGGTGCCAACTCTGCGCTTGTCTCTAAAACGCCCGTCGTACGTAATTCTTCAATCGACGGTCGTTTCGTTAACTGCTGATTGACTTTATCACAATTCAATTGACGTTGTAATTTCTCTTGTGTAGCCTGTAGACTAGGTGCAATACTGTCAGTACCATGAACAATAGCATGATCACGTAATTCTTGCACATCTGGTCGATTCTTGAGTCGATGTGCTAGTTCATCAGCACTTAATTGACGTTGTAATTGTTTCTGTACACCTTGAAGTGTCGATGCTACAGTCGATAAAGCTGTTGGTACGACATTCCGTTGCTCCAAATCTTCTAAATCAGGTCGTGCTTCGAGTAAATGATCAATTCGTTCACTTGTACGACGACGATGTTCTTCCTTCGTCATACTTTCTTCTTGATCATCTATCATCTTCCTTGATGTCTCTTGATTTATTCTCTCCGGATGACTAGTTGACGTCGTGTCATCCATGGACGTTATTTTAAAGTCTTTTTGATTCCTCTAACGCTATTTAGAATCTCTCTGTTTTGATTCTTTTTGAACAATGGGGGAAGGAAAATAGAATACGGGAAAAATATAAACGTCATCGAAAGGATTTTTTTATCTGAAAGTTTGTATTCTGATTTAAACCAACTTCAACAAGAGTTATCAATCTACCTTCAGTCGACATATTTCTTTTCTTCTTCTTATACAAACTTGTAGGCACATTCAATCAGCTGTTGTGCTGTCATATGACTTTCACCAGTACGATGTAGCTCTTCCTTGGCCATTTCAGTCACTAATAACAATTTCTTCACTGAGATTGGACGATCTGATAACAACGTCAGCACTTCATCCTTCTCATTATCCGCTACAGATAAACCCGTATGCGTCAGTACCACCTCGAGCTCATCCTTTTGTGTCAATTGTGGCACCTCCAGACACAAATCAAACACATCACTCAGCTCAACGCCTTGTAAAGCACCCAGATTCGACGTAATGCCAATCACTACAAGCTTTCGTCCAGCTACGGGCACTGGATTACGGACTAACACCATAAGCGCCTGAAGTACCAGGTTTGAAAAACGTGGACCCATACCTGATAAGTAATGACAAAAGACCAAGTAGTATATCATGTTAGTTGTAACATGATACATATCCTCAATCTCCCCCCCCCACACACATAGATTACCAATGACGTACCAACATAGTCAATAAGACGTTCGATATCATCCAGAATGATGATGCTGAGCGAAGATCGATACGCCTCCTCAAACAAATTATAAATAAACGAACATTTGCCACTCTCCGCACGCGAGATAAGCTCAGAAGCCTTCACCATGCGCACCAATGGAAACTCGCTTGCAACAGCGCAGTATGTGGCCAGTGCAGTCTTACCGGCACCACGTTCGCCGTGCAGCAGCACCGACATCAGTGTCGTCTTGTCGTTTGAGCGGACTTGATCAATTACACGGGTCAGTGCTTCATGCACGTCACTAAATGCAATACCATACGGAATCAGCCCGTTCTTGTAGTACAGCGCCAGCTGATCGCTAGGAGCACCAAACTTTGGCTTCACTTCCTCGAGTGCCAACGTAAAATCTTCCATGGATATTTCAGGATTATAATTAGCAATAGCGTGCATCGTCCGTCCATCCGTACCGCGTGAGAGAGCATGCGCTGTGGCGGCACGCACTAAACCTTCAATCTCAGCTCCTGAAAAGTTCTTGGTACGCTGGACGAGGTTTTTATAGTCAGGGTCATCGCTAACGAACTTGGTCGGATCAAGACAGTTATCCAGGTCTGCAATAACTTTCGGATGCAACGCTCCCTTCTCGCGGGCACGGTCGGTGTGAATCTTAAGGATCTGAGCGCGTCCTTTTTCATCAGGCAGATTAATTTCGATCTGCACCTCAAGACGGCCTGGACGCATCAAAGCTTCATCCAGCATATCCTAGTAAAACAAAACATAATCGCAATTAGATCTCGAAAGCATGACACGTGTAGCGTCAAGCAAGTGTTTTGCACCTTTCGATTCGTCATACCGATCACTAAAACATTGTTCAAGCTGTCAACACCATCGATCTGTGTCAACAGCTGATTTACCACGCTATCACCCACGCCTGTGCTGTCGTGGCTCGAGCCACGCTGCTTGCATATGGCATCAATTTCATCAAAGATAATAATGTGCACATCACTCTCATCTCCAAGCTCTTCCTGGTCTTTGCGTGCGTCAGCAAAAAGTTCGCGGACCTTGCGCTCAGACTCACCGACAAACTTGTCCAGAATTTCAGGTCCATTGACCACTTTCGGCTCCTTTGCAGTCAAAGCCTGCGAGATCTTGCGTGCAATGAGCGTCTTACCGCAACCTGGCGGTCCGAACAGCAGCATCCCGCGCACGTGCTGGATGCCTAGCTTCTGAATAACTTCCGTCGGGAACAATCGTGAGGCAAAAGCACGACGGAAGATATCGTTGAACTCCTTTTCCAAGCCACCAATGCCGAGCTTGGTGAAGTCAAAGTCAGGCTTGAACACAGTGCGCGATGAACCACTGGACTGATTAACAAGACGAATAGGGGCGTCTTTTGCTTTGGTAAAGCTGACAATGGCACCATGAAGATAGACGCCCAGTCGCGGGGCAAACGAGTCAGGAGCTCGATTATCCCCATCCACTGTGTCCACATTAACGCACTCAAGCCGTAGTGGGAGACCATCACACTTGACGGCCAATAGTTGTCCAACAGCAAAGACCTGATTTGTATATTCGGACTCAAAGACTTCTTTAAGTAGATTACAGTCCACGACTCGTGGAGTAGTTCCCTGTCCTCGTGTTAAAACTTGTTGAATCTCAAATGTGACAGTACTGAGGACGTTCTTGGACGAATTAGTAGGCGCGTACACTGAGATCTCACAAATTTCATTCATTGGAAGTCCCACACACATACGCTGCATTGTTCCAACAGCAACAGTCCCTGGTTGAATTTCTTTATGAGGTTTTGCAGCGATTACAAACTTACGATTAAGCCAGACATTCAGTCCATAAGCACGCAAATCTTCCTTGGTAACAACACCCTTGGGTGTTTGTTTTACTAGAGACATGAATTCATCAAGATGGACGTAGATACAGTTAGTAAAGGCATAAGAATTGCCAGGAAGTCCTGTTACAGCGGCCTCGAATACCATTTTTAGTGTGTATCGATGTATGAAGTAAGAGTGAAGTAAAGAAAAAGTCAAGAAACGGAAGAGTGTTAGAAAATTACCCAATCACATGATTTTCGTTTTCTGTAGATCCAAACAAATGTAGTCTTATTTAGCTGTAATTAGTTGGTTAAAAGTGACTGCACAAAAACTAATTAAGCGGTTTCGACCTTCAGCCCTTTACTAAGTAAAAAAGCATCCTGATTAGGTTTACGACCTAAAAAGTCGTCGAGCATATTACTTGCATCCACAGAACCACCACGAGCTAAAATAAGCTCACGATAGGCTAATCCTGTCTTTGAATTCATAAGGCCTTCTTTCTTGAATCGAGATACAAACATGTCCATCGAAAACACTTCACTCCACATGTAGCCATAGTATTGGGCATCATAGCCACCAGCTAAGTGACCAAATGATCCGGCAAAGTTTGTATCAGGTGTTACATCAATCAGCAGAATTTCACGCTGGAGCTGGTTCACAAGCTGCGTCGTGTTTGTCTTGGGCTTGGAATGAATGGTTTGGTCAAAGATGGCAAAGAACAATTGACGCTTGTTCAGCAGTCCTGCGTGCACATTTTTCGTCGAGATCAGGCGAGCAATCAGCTCGTCCGAAAGTTTCTACAAGCAAACAGACAGACAAGTCAAACGAACTGATACTCAAACACCATGCAAAAGTGTGCAGGAAGACAACGTACCTCGCCAGTTTCGTAATGCGACGATAGACGCTGCAACGGCTCCTTTTCCCAACACCAATTCTCAAGCATCTGACTCGGAGCTTCCACGAAGTCACGCTCTACACGCGTGCCAGCGAAGCGAGGAATGTTCACTTCTGAGCACAAGCAATGCATGACGTGGCCAAATTCGTGGAAGTAGGTCACAACCTCTTGGTGTCCCAGGAGCGACGGCTTTGATGTTGTTGGGGCATTGAAGTTAGCAACCATGGCGGCAGCAGGGTACTGTTTTTTGTTTCACATCATCAATACAAGACCATGTGAAACAATAAGTCTAGTTTAAAACACTTGCACTAGAACGCACCTCACGAACACCAGAAGAATTGACGCAGCTCTGTTGAAGCGTGAAGCAGGCTGCATGGCCATACTTGCCTGCGCGGGGGAATAAGTCCAGGTAGAAGTGACCAACAAGGTTGCCGATCTTCCCCGGGCGGGAATCGTAGACCGCAAACATGCGAACATCCCTGTGCCACACGTGAGGCTGAGAAATCTCTACAAACTTCAGACTCAACAGCTCCTGGTACATGGACAGTAGTTCATCCGTCACGTGCGATAGCGGAAAATATTCACGCAGCTTTTCAGAGTCAATGGAGCAGTGCTTCTTGACAAACTGGTCCATGTAGAAGCGGAAGTCCCACATATTAATCTTGCCATCAAACTTGCTTCCATTCCGCGCACAGTCGGCTTCCTTCAGCTTTAGTAAATCATTAAGATCTTTATTGGCAAGCGGCACTAGCTTGTTGTTTAGGTCATCTAAGAACTTCTTGACGTTTGCCGGCGATCCTGCCATCCTAGCGTGAACACCGTACAGGTACTATAGGTTAAACTATCATTTGAGCAACGATATAAACCACGATCTTACCTTTGCTCGAGAATGTACGCAGCATGGTTTTTGTATCCCAGTGCCAGTGCCACTTTGTGTCGGATCTCCAGCATCTCTTCGAGAATGGCGACATTCGTGGAGATGCAGCGGCGATTGAAGGCATACTCCACAGCCTTGCGAGTCGATTCCACAGTGCATGTGTTAAGAATTGGAAATACCGTCGGGTACGAGAGGGCAACCTGTAGACACCAACGCGATCTCGTCAGAAAAATGACAAAAAGCAGTCGTACAAATATTGTGGTCTCTCTCACTTTGTACTTGTCACTGCTGTCCTTCTCAAGCGCAGCGATAAAGTCTTCACTAAGCCCTTTTAGCTCGTCCTGCGCAAACTGTACTTCAATCGTCTCCTCCGAGAGATTCTGCTGGAACTGAATGCCAAGCTTGGATAACTTCTGCTTCCAAGCCTGCACCTCTTTTTGCTTATCATATGGTAGTTGCAGTCCGTTACGCTCAAAATCCTGCACCAGACGCTGCACGTAGCGCTGCGTCACTGGGTCTAGTTTCTACCAAACAAACAGCAAGACACTTCCTCCGTCAGTCTGAAGTCCTACAGCAACCACTAGCTCTTGGCTCTTCTTACATGATAGATAGAGCCCTCATAGAGCATATGAACAGACTTGTAAACGTCTGCACGCATGCTCCGCTGCACAGAAAAGTCTTCAATGGCCTCGTCTGCCTTAGTACAGGCGTCGCGCGTCTCCTTGTCGACTGCCACTTGTCCCAGGAACGTCACGTTCGTTACGCGGCTTATCATCTCGTGGTCCAAGTCAATGAGCTTTTGTACAGTGTTTTCAAACGTCATGGCGGAGGGTGCAAGGGCTGCAATCTCATCGTCCACGCGCTTCATCTGCGCCAGGATCCGCGCCGTCTCAGCTTCGATCTCTGCTACGCTTAGATCAAAACGCAAGTGAGTCAGCTGTTTACGCAACAGACGCGTCCGCTGTTTATGCGCCCATATAGCGAGACCCACGAACGCTGTGGCACATGCGGCTACGGTCAGTGCCGTCTTTTGCTTATCAGTCGCCATTCGTTTTGACCAAATGTCCAAAATGCGCAAATGGGGACAATAAAATGAGGACAAATGGAAAAACGACATACAAACTGTTGCGAAATGGGACAGAGTTGAGCAGACGTCGAAAAAGAGGTCATTATTATTTAACCATGTATGTAGTAATGTGGTTAGTATCTACATCTTAGCTTCGTCCGAGAGCTTTGCGGCAGCATCCTCGTCAATAAACCAGTAGACTACACCGTCTGTGAGATTGACATTGGCAGCGGGGAGCGGAGGCGTGCGCTTTTCAATGCCTACCATGTGTGGAATCAGCTCGGCCTTGCCAGCACCAGTGGCGACGAACGCAACCTATCACCACCCAGATATATGCGTGAACAAGCAGGACTAGCAGGCCTTCAGCCGACAAGATTGCACGTACATTGGCGGCATTGTTCAAGACCGGATAGGTGAGTGTGATTCGCTGTGAGGGCGGTTTGGGCGAGTCTTCGATGGACGCTACGAACAGCGTCTTTTCCTCTAAAAGCGGGTGATCAGGAAAGAGCGAGCATGTGTGACCGTCTGGGCCCATGCCCAACAAGATGAGATCAAAGCGAGGCAGCTGCAGACAACAAGTTACAATATCATATCTAGTTAGTCGTGATGCGTGCTACCAGCAGTAGGAGAGGGAGCTCACATCGGTGCCCCACACTTCTGTCAGCTTCTTAGTGTAGTCTGCAGCCATTGCATCCGGGGTCAGCGACGCATTAATCGAGTAGATCTGACTTTCTGGCACAGGAATCTGCATAAACAGCAAGATAATACAATCTAGTCAGTTTGATATAAACGATATAAGGTGTAGCTAGATGACTCGTACAAAGTTGAAAAGTGCTTCCTTGCAGGCCTTGTAGTTGCTATCATCGTGGTCCAGAGGTACACAACGTTCATCAGCAAAGTATACGAACCACTTGGAAAAGTCCACATCTTGTTTAATTGTCTGAAGACCTTTGTTCAGGATCTACAGTGAAAGGCAGCAGTGATACAATCGCAGACAGTGACACATCTTTGCCCAGTTATATTGTTTCTGTATGTCTGTATACCTTGGGGAGGGAACCACCAGAGAGTGCCATAGTAAATCGACCATTCGTAGCAATACATTGCTTACTGAGGTCCAAGATAAACTGGCCAACTGCAAGACCAACGTCATCAGGACTACTAGATACTTGCACAACCATTGTCAAAGCTTTATGAGTAATGACAACGCAGCGACGTAGTCATTGGCTAAAATATAGTGTCATCATCGCATTGAAGATCCTAACATGCTGTCATTACTGCTAGTAACTACCGTCCGGTTCATTCTCGTGTGTATAGAGGCAATAGATTATCCTGGTGGTTGGCTGCCAAATAACAAACAATGTGTAAACATTTGTGTGCACGGCTCTCCATATCCAACCTGCCCAACACAAGACCCATCATGTCTCGCCAAAAAACAGCGACCAGGCGACTACGACTTTTTGGTGCTGGAACAACTTTTCCTGCCACAATTTTGCCGCGATTTGCTTGCAGGAGTGGATCTCACAAGATCTCACCACAATGTGAATAAATATCCACGAGGTATCAAATGCGATCCTTCCAAGGCAGTTAGCAAGCTCTCTATCCATGGTCTTTGGCCCAACTACGAGAGCGGATTTTCCGCGTGCTGTAACATAAGCAATGTTGTCCGGAACAAGCCACTAGATCCGCTAGGCTATGCTGCAGAGTCAGCTGAGCTACTGAGAGAGATGAACGAGGTATGGGTAGATCCGACACAGCCTTCGAGTGTCCGCACTCTGTGTGAGCTGTACAACCACGAGTTTCAGAAACACGGACTGTGCTACGCAGCTAATGGTGGAGAGGATTTTAATTTTAGCGCCCGCGAGTATTTTCGCGCGGCGATTCGTGCTGCCGCTGTGTACAGGGAGGCCACATCGACGATAAACCTGTGGGCGTCTGCAAGTAATCCGAAGACAACACTAAGTGCTATCACTGCGCTGTATTCAACGCGAGTGCAGGTTTTGTGCTCGGCCGTTGAACCAATAAGAGGTAAGCCTGGAAATAGCCTCGCTGCCATACATGTTTGCTTTAGCAAACCAGCTAATGCCTCTGCTACTCTGACCCCGATTGACTGCAAGGACCTGTTCTCGACGAATTTGTTTGTTCCGTGTAATCCCGTGGGTCCTGTTACGCTTGCCAAGTACATTCCACCACCGTCACTAGCGTTGCCGAACATGGCATCCAAATTTTATGCTTTTTTATAGCTATGGTAACAAAGCGAGAAGAGAATGGACGAGGTCTGTGTGTGTTGAGCATCTTATGTAAAATAAGACGGTGGAGCCCTTTTGTAACGGGGTTACACGAAGGTGTGAATTTTACATACACACTTCCCACACCAATGTGGTGTAGCTTTACTTTGGTTAAAAATAAACTTATTTGACCTTACCTTAATTAAGAAGGGAAAAAATTGGGGAAAAAAAAAAAGGTTTTTTTTTATTTAATTAAAAGTTTGTAAAAGAAAAAAAAGAAATAATAATAATAAATAATAAAAAATTATAATTTTTTTTTTTATTTTTTTTAATTTAGTTTTTTTTTTTTTTTTTTTTTTTATTTTTTTTTAAAATTATTAATTTTAAAAAAAGAATATAAAATAATTTTATTAAAATATTTATTTTTTATTTTTTAAAGGGAAAAAAATTTTTAGGGTTTTTTTTTTTTTTAGGTTTTTTATTTTTTTTTTTTTTTTTTTTTTTTTTTTTTTTTATTTTTTTTTTTTTTTTTTTTTAAAAATAAAAAAAAAAAAAATTTTTTATTTTAAAAAAAAAAAATTATTTTTTAAATTTTTTTTTTTGTTTTATTTTTTTATTTTTTTTTTTTTTTTTTTTTTCTCCCCCCCCACTAAATATAGAAGCACCTTTCCTGTACTTGTTCTAGTCACTAGTACTGGCTCTTTAGCCTTTTACCATCATGCAAATATGCATAGTCACTATACTTTAAACAAGTATAGTGACCACGTGGCTCTCTGCCACGATGTGACCCTTCGTACTTCAGGTACGGTCACATCACCTACTTTTGTACCCAAGGTACAGCCACACCACATTGGTGTGGCAGGCTGTGTATGTAAAATATACACCTTCGTGTAACCCTGTTACACCCTACCCCACCAATCCGTGGGATCCGACGCACCCACGAATTTTGCACTTGATTGGAGGCATCGATTTCATTTTCTTCTCATTTTGCTTGCCTCGCAATAAGTGCTTGCACTTGCGTCGAAAGCTCCTGTGTTTTTAACACTTGCTCTTTGAGCACCCGTGCATTGCACACACGCTTTATAAGCATCCTTGTGTTACGACACTTGCTCTTTGAGCATTTAGTGCATCGCACTCACGCTAAAGTATTGAAAGTTACGACACTCGCTCTTTGAGCATATAGTGCATCGCACTCACGCTAATACTTTAGCTTACGACACTTGCTTATAAGCGTTTAGTGCCAAGCACTTGGTATTATTAATACCTTTTGTGTGTTCACGAACGCTTGCTTTCACGGCACAAGGTACCTATCACTTGCTTTTAAGCAATACAGTGTTCGCAACACTTGCTTTTAGCAATACAGTGTTCACAACACTTGCTTTTAAGCAATACCGTGTTCACAACACTTGCTTTTAAGCATTACAGTGTTCACAACACTTGCTTTAAGCATTACAGTGTTCACAACACTTGCTTCAAGCATTTGAGCATATAAGTGTGTAACACTTGCTCACAAAGCACCGTAATGTTAACACTAGCTTATAATGCACATTAGTGTCGAACACTAGCTACAATGCATATTAGTGTCTAACACTAGCTTATAAAGCACCTAAGTGTTCAACACTTGCTTATAAAGCACATTTTCGCTTCATTTTAGCGTATAAGCACCATGGTGCTTTATAAGCTACTGTTAGATGCTATAGTGTATAACACTAGCTTATAAAGCACCTTAGTGTTGAACAACTGCTTTTGAAAATCCTTTAAGTGCTTAAAACACTTGCTTATATAATCCTAAGTGTTGTACACTTCTGATAAAGCTTCGTAGTGTTTCATACTTGCTTATAGAAAGCCCCACAGTATTACTTTGCTTATAAGCACAACTTTGTTCACCAATTGCTTATATAAAGCCCCAAAGTGTCGTAAACTTGCTTTTAAAGCAAATAGTAGTACTTTTCCGCGAGTGAGGTACAAGCAACTGCTTTTCAAGGAGGTAAGAGGTGAAGCCTAACTACTGACCTTGCTTCCACAGCACTTAGTGTTAGGAAGCATCCGGCGACTGCTGTCGCCGCTTATAATCTTCCCGATCAAAGCTTCCACGACATCCGGGCAGTCTTGCCGTAGGGGTACCTTGTACTCCCATGAGTCATACGACTGAGGGTACCCCCTCCACTTTACCAGATACTGGGTGTGGCCCTGATGAAGACGTCGCGCCAATAGACGCTCGACGTAAAACTGTTTATGACCCAGCTCATCAGTCAGCGTTGGCGGGGGTCGGTGACTCATCGATCCATGATCTTTTGGTACGCCTTCAGTGTCCATATGCACCTCCGGTGCCGTACCACCCGCCTCCTTCGGCCGAGAGTATGGCGACAACCCCTCGAAGTCCACTAAGACAGGGTGGAGGCATGGCTTAAGTAACCCTACGTAGAACACAGGATGTGTTCTCATCGTCTTCGGAAGGTTCAGCGTATAGGCTAAACCTTTCTTGCTTATGCCGATAAAGCGTGGATGCAGTTTAGTTTTATATACCGCAGACACTGCACGTGTCGGTAAATTCCTAGCGTTTAATAAAACCAAATCTCCCACTTTGAACTCATGTTCGTTTTTCCTGCCTTTGGCATCCGTGTGTTCCTTCTGAACATCCTGGCTTTCAGCCATAGCGTCTTTGACGCGACGTAATACGTCAAAACGCGTTGACAGAAACGCTTCCACCTTCTTGCGCATCGCAACAGGGCTGATATCAGCCAAGCCTCCGGCTATCTCTCCCCCCACTAAGCCCTGATGTGGCAGGGGGTAGCGTTAAAGGAACGCGAGGGTTAACCAAACCATTCACATAGAATGGATTATTACATTTGTGATGAAGTCAAGCGTGGTGAAGTGGAGCTTGAGCATTGTGAGACTTCCATCATGCTTGCGGACATCTTGACGAAGGCACTTCCGGGACCTCGTCACAAGGACTTGACGGCTGCACTCGGTATTCATGCGAGTTCACATTGAGGGGGCGTATTGAGGGTTACCGGTACAATTCGAACTCTAAGGCTTAGTATTTACGGCAGAGTTCTTACAGGTAATTACGTCATAGTTGATTTGACGAGTAGCTTCATAGGAAGATCTACAAAAATGATTTATATGTGGACTACATATAAATCAGTTGGTAGATAATAAGCTCTTACAAATCAATCACTTTCTAATTTACTTTCTCCAGCACAAGTATCCACTCTTCAATTGCAGACTTCCTCCGCCTCCAACCAAGCCCTCGCAAGACCAAGACTCATACCTTCCATCACAGTCGCGATGTCACCTTTGACGAGACGATCGTTGGTATTTCGACTATGAGTGCAAGTGGTGACGACGAAGATGCTACGCTGGACTTCAGTGGACTCGACATCAATGATGACAACGGAGGTCCATCACAGTACCAGCAGACTGGAAAACGCAAGGACCGTTTGAGTGACGCCAACAGCAAGGATTCCTACTCGCGTCCTGCTCATCATGGTGCTAGTCTCGAAGAAGCAAATGCTCCTGATCGCGCATTTCGGCGCCAAGTGAAGAGTCGACCAGGCATACATGCTAGACCTGATCTGTCAGAAGAAAAAGAAAAGGACAACCATGATGATGAAGATAGCGTCTCGACTCCTCCAATGTTTTGGCGAGCAAGTGTCAACGCAGTTGAAGTGAGCGATCTGTCAGAGCCAACGACAACTCAAGACGCGATGAACGGACCCGACAAAGTTCACTGGCGTGAGCAATCAACGCAGAGCTCAAGTCGATGCAACTTTGTGGAGTATTTCGTGCGGCTGTATTGCCAAAAAGACTACAAGATATTGGAACCAAGTGGGTGTTCAAGATCAAGCAAAAAGCGGGCGCTTCAATCGAGAAGTACAAGGCACGACTTGTGGCCAAGGGCTTCAAGCAGAAGTACGGCATCGCCTACACGGAGGCATTCTCACCAGTGGTCAAGTATGTGACGCTGCGCATGGTGGTCGCGATTACCAAGTACTTTGGCTGGCCTCTTGGCCAACTTGACGTGGTCACAGCTTTTCTCTATGGTGTGACGAAAGAAACGGTGTACTGCGCGGTTCCAGAAGGCGTCGAATTGGACGGAGACTTCAACTGCCTCGAGTTGGTGAAGACAATCTACGGTCTCAAGCAAGCTTCTCGTGTATGGAACGAGACCTTCGACGAGTTTGTTCGCTCCATCGACTTTCAAGTTTCGGCCTAAAATCCGTGCCTCTACATCAAGATTGTGGACGGTTACTGCGTACTGTTGCTAGTCTACGTGGACGATGTGCTGGTGACTGGGAGCTCGACGGAACTCATTGCGTGTACCATGAGCGACCTCAAGACGCGCTTCGAGATGACCGACAGTGGCAAGTGTGCTTTTGTGTTGGGCAGAACTGGTCGAAACGCTGACAATAGCGTGACGATGTGCCAGCGCGCTATGTGGATGACATTCTGAAGCGCTTTGGGATGGAAGACTGCAAGGCTGCAATAAGCCCAGCTGATGTGAGCACTCGACTGACTCGAAGCAATGCATTAACCAAGGTGAGCGCTCCATTTCGAGAAGCTGTGGGGGCGCTCATGCATCTGACGACCGCAACACGCCCAGACATAGCTTTTGCTGTGGGATACGTATCGCGTTTCTTGGAAAACCCCCAAGTCGAGCACTGGATTGCAGTGAAGCGTATTTTCCGCTATCTGCAAGGGACCAAGTCACATGGAATTTGTTTCAAGCCTGGTGAAGAAGTTGATTTTTGTGAATACTCCGATCGGACTGGTCTGGAGACTATTCTGACCGCAAGTCAACTTCGGGATATGCATTTCTGTTGATGAGCGCACCGATCAGTTAGGGCAGCAAGAAGCAGTCAAGTGTGTCGCTTTCAACGAGCAAAGCTGAGTACATTGCAATCAGCTTAGCGATCCAAGAAGGCAAGTGGGTTCACCGACTGCTGATCAAAATTCTATCAGCGTCAAATAATTCGGCTCCTGGACTTAAGATTCTCGAAGACAACCAGTCCTGCATCAAGATGACAAAGAATCCCGTCAACCATGGTCGTGCAAAACACATCGACATCAAGTACCATCACATCCGTGATGAAGTCAAGCGTGGTGAAGTGGAGCTTGAGCATTGTGAGACTTCCATCATGCTTGCGGACATCTTGACGAAGGCACTTCCGGGATCTCGTCACAAGGACTTAACGGCTGCACTCGGTATTCATGCGAGTTCACATTGAGGGGGCGTAGAGTGTTACCGGAACAATTCGAACTCTAAGTCTTAGTATTTACGGCAGAGTTCTTACAGATAATTACGTCATAGTTGATTTGACGAGTAGCTTCATAGGAAGATCTACATGATTTATATGTGGACTACATAAAAATCAGAACGTAAAAAAACAAAAAAAACTTTTTTTAAAAAAAAAAAAAAAAAAAAAACACCACTGATTTATATGTGGACTACATATAAATCAGTTGGTCGATATATAAGCTCTTACAAATCAATCACTTTCTAATTTACTTTCTCCAGCACAAGTATCCACTCTTCAATTGCAGACTTCCTCCGCCTCCAACCAAGCCCTCGCAAGACCAAGACTCATACCTTCCATCACAGTCGCGATGTCACCTTTGACGAGACGATCGTTGGTATTTCGACTATGAGTGCAAGTGGTGACGACGAAGATGCTACGCTGGACTTCAGTGGACTCGACATCAATGATGACAACGGAGGTCCATCACAGTACCAGCAGACTGGAAAACGCAAGGACCGTTTGAGTGACGCCAACAGCAAGGATTCCTACTCGCGTCCTGCTCATCATGGTGCTAGTCTCGAAGAAGCAAATGCTCCTGATCGCGCATTTCGGCGCCAAGTGAAGAGTCGACCAGGCATACATGCTAGACCTGATCTGTCAGAAGAAAAAGAAAAGGACAACCATGATGATGAAGATAGCGTCTCGACTCCTCCAATGTTTTGGCGAGCAAGTGTCAACGCAGTTGAAGTGAGCGATCTGTCAGAGCCAACGACAACTCAAGACGCGATGAACGGACCCGACAAAGTTCACTGGCGTGAGCAATCAACGCAGAGCTCAAGTCGATGCAACTTTGTGGAGTATTTCGTGCGGCTGTATTGCCAAAAAGACTACAAGATATTGGAACCAAGTGGGTGTTCAAGATCAAGCAAAAAGCGGGCGCTTCAATCGAGAAGTACAAGGCACGACTTGTGGCCAAGGGCTTCAAGCAGAAGTACGGCATCGCCTACACGGAGGCATTCTCACCAGTGGTCAAGTATGTGACGCTGCGCATGGTGGTCGCGATTACCAAGTACTTTGGCTGGCCTCTTGGCCAACTTGACGTGGTCACAGCTTTTCTCTATGGTGTGACGAAAGAAACGGTGTACTGCGCGGTTCCAGAAGGCGTCGAATTGGACGGAGACTTCAACTGCCTCGAGTTGGTGAAGACAATCTACGGTCTCAAGCAAGCTTCTCGTGTATGGAACGAGACCTTCGACGAGTTTGTTCGCTCCATCGACTTTCAAGTTTCGGCCTAAAATCCGTGCCTCTACATCAAGATTGTGGACGGTTACTGCGTACTGTTGCTAGTCTACGTGGACGATGTGCTGGTGACTGGGAGCTCGACGGAACTCATTGCGTGTACCATGAGCGACCTCAAGACGCGCTTCGAGATGACCGACAGTGGCAAGTGTGCTTTTGTGTTGGGCAGAACTGGTCGAAACGCTGACAATAGCGTGACGATGTGCCAGCGCGCTATGTGGATGACATTCTGAAGCGCTTTGGGATGGAAGACTGCAAGGCTGCAATAAGCCCAGCTGATGTGAGCACTCGACTGACTCGAAGCAATGCATTAACCAAGGTGAGCGCTCCATTTCGAGAAGCTGTGGGGGCGCTCATGCATCTGACGACCGCAACACGCCCAGACATAGCTTTTGCTGTGGGATACGTATCGCGTTTCTTGGAAAACCCCCAAGTCGAGCACTGGATTGCAGTGAAGCGTATTTTCCGCTATCTGCAAGGGACCAAGTCACATGGAATTTGTTTCAAGCCTGGTGAAGAAGTTGATTTTTGTGAATACTCCGATCGGACTGGTCTGGAGACTATTCTGACCGCAAGTCAACTTCGGGATATGCATTTCTGTTGATGAGCGCACCGATCAGTTAGGGCAGCAAGAAGCAGTCAAGTGTGTCGCTTTCAACGAGCAAAGCTGAGTACATTGCAATCAGCTTAGCGATCCAAGAAGGCAAGTGGGTTCACCGACTGCTGATCAAAATTCTATCAGCGTCAAATAATTCGGCTCCTGGACTTAAGATTCTCGAAGACAACCAGTCCTGCATCAAGATGACAAAGAATCCCGTCAACCATGGTCGTGCAAAACACATCGACATCAAGTACCATCACATCCGTGATGAAGTCAAGCGTGGTGAAGTGGAGCTTGAGCATTGTGAGACTTCCATCATGCTTGCGGACATCTTGACGAAGGCACTTCCGGGATCTCGTCACAAGGACTTAACGGCTGCACTCGGTATTCATGCGAGTTCACATTGAGGGGGCGTAGAGTGTTACCGGAACAATTCGAACTCTAAGTCTTAGTATTTACGGCAGAGTTCTTACAGATAATTACGTCATAGTTGATTTGACGAGTAGCTTCATAGGAAGATCTACATGATTTATATGTGGACTACATAAAAATAAGGAAAAAAAAAAAAAAAAAAAATTTTTTTAAAAAAAAAAAAAAAAAAAAAAACTGATTTATATGTGGACTACATATAAATCAGTTGGTCGATAATAAGCTCTTACAAATCAATCACTTTCTAATTTACTTTCTCCAGCACAAGTATCCACTCTTCAATTGCAGACTTCCTCCGCCTCCAACCAAGCCCTCGCAAGACCAAGACTCATACCTTCCATCACAGTCGCGATGTCACCTTTGACGAGACGATCGTTGGTATTTCGACTATGAGTGCAAGTGGTGACGACGAAGATGCTACGCTGGACTTCAGTGGACTCGACATCAATGATGACAACGGAGGTCCATCACAGTACCAGCAGACTGGAAAACGCAAGGACCGTTTGAGTGACGCCAACAGCAAGGATTCCTACTCGCGTCCTGCTCATCATGGTGCTAGTCTCGAAGAAGCAAATGCTCCTGATCGCGCATTTCGGCGCCAAGTGAAGAGTCGACCAGGCATACATGCTAGACCTGATCTGTCAGAAGAAAAAGAAAAGGACAACCATGATGATGAAGATAGCGTCTCGACTCCTCCAATGTTTTGGCGAGCAAGTGTCAACGCAGTTGAAGTGAGCGATCTGTCAGAGCCAACGACAACTCAAGACGCGATGAACGGACCCGACAAAGTTCACTGGCGTGAGCAATCAACGCAGAGCTCAAGTCGATGCAACTTTGTGGAGTATTTCGTGCGGCTGTATTGCCAAAAAGACTACAAGATATTGGAACCAAGTGGGTGTTCAAGATCAAGCAAAAAGCGGGCGCTTCAATCGAGAAGTACAAGGCACGACTTGTGGCCAAGGGCTTCAAGCAGAAGTACGGCATCGCCTACACGGAGGCATTCTCACCAGTGGTCAAGTATGTGACGCTGCGCATGGTGGTCGCGATTACCAAGTACTTTGGCTGGCCTCTTGGCCAACTTGACGTGGTCACAGCTTTTCTCTATGGTGTGACGAAAGAAACGGTGTACTGCGCGGTTCCAGAAGGCGTCGAATTGGACGGAGACTTCAACTGCCTCGAGTTGGTGAAGACAATCTACGGTCTCAAGCAAGCTTCTCGTGTATGGAACGAGACCTTCGACGAGTTTGTTCGCTCCATCGACTTTCAAGTTTCGGCCTAAAATCCGTGCCTCTACATCAAGATTGTGGACGGTTACTGCGTACTGTTGCTAGTCTACGTGGACGATGTGCTGGTGACTGGGAGCTCGACGGAACTCATTGCGTGTACCATGAGCGACCTCAAGACGCGCTTCGAGATGACCGACAGTGGCAAGTGTGCTTTTGTGTTGGGCAGAACTGGTCGAAACGCTGACAATAGCGTGACGATGTGCCAGCGCGCTATGTGGATGACATTCTGAAGCGCTTTGGGATGGAAGACTGCAAGGCTGCAATAAGCCCAGCTGATGTGAGCACTCGACTGACTCGAAGCAATGCATTAACCAAGGTGAGCGCTCCATTTCGAGAAGCTGTGGGGGCGCTCATGCATCTGACGACCGCAACACGCCCAGACATAGCTTTTGCTGTGGGATACGTATCGCGTTTCTTGGAAAACCCCCAAGTCGAGCACTGGATTGCAGTGAAGCGTATTTTCCGCTATCTGCAAGGGACCAAGTCACATGGAATTTGTTTCAAGCCTGGTGAAGAAGTTGATTTTTGTGAATACTCCGATCGGACTGGTCTGGAGACTATTCTGACCGCAAGTCAACTTCGGGATATGCATTTCTGTTGATGAGCGCACCGATCAGTTAGGGCAGCAAGAAGCAGTCAAGTGTGTCGCTTTCAACGAGCAAAGCTGAGTACATTGCAATCAGCTTAGCGATCC